TTTAGATGAGAAGCGTGATCAAAGAGCCGAAACTCGTCCCCCGCAAGCACAACTAGGCGAGTACTTTGGTAATTACACACACGCACGCAAACACACGCACACACGTTAAAGATCCCGTCGTTAGAGATGGGAGGGAGAAATGGTTCATGGCACAGGACTTGGAGTAGCTGAGTTCAGACACACAGTCTTGTATACCAGTGGAGGAGGAATGTGCGTATTGGCCTCACTTACACAGGACTGCTGGTTGGGGCTGACGTAAGCAGATTGAAGGAGACAGTGCAGCCGTTTGTGCCTTGACCCAGGACGCAAGCGCTGCTTGCTGGAGCGGCCAGAATAGTATTCAGAAACTTGTGAGAGTTTGAAACATCTTGAGTAATTTTGCATGCCAAGCCTATCCATAGGGCGGGCATGGGGACGGCGTTTTCTATCATGGGGCTCGATAGGGTGGTTGGGTTACATGGGCTTGTGCCTTTCTGCATAGGCATAAAGGTTGGATGTTATTTTACGAAGTGGCAAAGAAAACAGGTAGAATTCTCATATTACACTCCAGGAGTGTTTGTGTGTGTGTGTGTGTGTGTGTGTGTGTGTGTGTGTGTGTGTGTGTGTGTGTGTGTGTGTGTGTGTGTGTGTGTGTGTGTGTGTGTGTGTACTCACCTAGTTGTGCTTGCGGGGGTTGAGCTCTGGCTCTTTGGTCCCGCCTCTCAACCGTCAATCAACAGGTGTACAGGTTCCTGTGTGTGTGTGTGTGTGTGTGTGAGGGAGGGAGGGAGGGAGGGACAGGCGCCTGACAGCTGAGTGGACAGTGCTTCGGATTCGTAGTCCTGAGGTTCCGGGTTCGATCCCCGGTGGAGGCGGAGACAAATGGGCAAAAGTTTTTCGCCCTGATGCCCCTGTTCACCTAGCAGTAAATAGGTACCTGGGAGTTAGACAGCTGCTACGGGCTGCTTCCTGGGGATGTGTAACAAAAAGGAGGCCTGGTCGAGGACCGGGCCGCGGGGACGCTAAGTCCCGAAATCATCTCAAGATAACCTCAAGAAGGGAGAGTGGTGATAAGACTGAAGAAAGATCAGAAGATTGAAACGAGAGAAAGAGGAGGGAGTAGAGAAAGATGCTCGAACTAAACTAGGTAAATAATATATGGAATTTATTCAACATTTTTTTTTTTTTTTTTTTTTTTTTTTTTGTTATTACGCAGGGATATTCCCGCGCGGGTCCTAAGCTTGTGGCTGGCCCTCTAAGTGTTACGTATTTCAGATTTCTGTTTTACTTACGCGGAGGAGGAGTATTTGTGACTCGTATGTTCGCTTCAGTAAGATTGTTTTAACAACAACTGCTCTGTTGAATCCAAGTTGATATCTTATTGGGTTTGTAACTGTGCACTGTGTTAGATAATGTTCCAGTAGTCGGTCAATTCTCTACAGTACTGACATTTACCAACGTAATAAAGATAGTTGACTTTGAACAAATTAAGGAATAAATGGGATAATAAATTAGTGGGGAGGGGAAGAATTTGACAAATGCATAAGCAAGGAGAGATGGCTCAAGAGACAAAAGTAAGATGATAAATCGGCAAGACTAGCAAGAATACGCACAAGGGAGAAAGAATTTGGGAGCAATTTTCTAAAACCATTTTTAGGGGGGGGTCTACGGAATGTCACTAATCTAAATTATTTTTCTCCATATTGTACCGTGTCCGTGCCATTGGTATACTGCACTTGTTTATAAACAATGACTTTCAGAAGTCTGGTCCCAGAGCATAATAATAATTAGGTCCATTTCCTTTTCAAACGGGGGGGGGGGGGGGGGTGAAATATCCAACCTGAATGAGGATCAAATTCGTGACAAACTATGACAATTGTCTACTTTCATTATGTGTGTTGCTTTGCTAAACATGAATTCATATTGTTCTTTTTGGGCTAAGTGTACAGTAGCTAGTGGGATTAGTAGCAAAGTGATCATAAATTCCAGAGGTTTAATCATGGTCTATATAAAATCTGACTGTTGTGGCAATGGAAAAATTTGTATACACTAATCTGCTTACATTCACACACAAGTGTTTTAGCGTTACGGTGTATCTAGGAGATAATTTCTGATTATAAGTTCACGAATGAACTCGTGAACTGTTCACGAATGAACTCGTGAACTGTTCATGAGTGAACAGTTGTGAAAATGGTAATGGGTTTGATCAGCTGTATGAGTGACATCAGCAATTGATGGAGATATATGTGGACCCTTTGACACAGGTCTCTCGAAGGAAACTATATGTATGCACAAATAATAAATTGCCTACACATACCTGTGACTGCATACTCGCCACATATCTGTGACTGCATACTCGCCACATATCTGTGACTGCATACTCGCCACATATCTGTGACTGCATACTCGCCACATATCTGTGACTGCATACTCGCCACATATCTGTGACTGCATACTCGCCACATACCTGTGACTGCATACTCGCCACATACCTGTGACTGCATACTCGCCACATACCTGTGACTGCATACTCGCCACATACCTGTGACTGCATACTCGCCACATACCTGTGACTGCATACTCGCCACATACCTGTGACTGGATTCTCACTTCCACACACCTTCACCAACATGCAGCACGAGAGCATCAAGTGTGCTAAACGCATACACATAAGCAACTGGAAATAACCAGTACTCACAAAAAGACGATGCCAAAAACAAGGGGAAAAAATGAAATCACTATGTAAACATCAAATCCCACCCCTTCCCCTCGTTTAGGATGATAGTACAGTGTAGACTTGTTCACTCAACCAGGGGTAAATATACATTAGTACTGTTTAAAAGGGAGAAACGAGGCTTCAGTAATCTCTTCCGTTCACTTGACTATTTCATGGCTAGTCTCTCCTCTCCTTGTGTATGGACTGTGTGTATTAGTTGGGCCCTGACCCTTTGCATTGTCTGAATATTAATACTAGAATCTACATACAGTATATATATGACTGACAAGTGACTTGTACTCACTTGTTGCTCAAAGATTTGTTTAGGATGTTAACATTTTAACATAATAAAAGAAAACTGCATAAGGCCTATTGGATCATGCACAGTAGCTTCTATTTCCATCCACCAAAACTCATTCATTTATTTCAAATATATATTGAACTTATACTTGAAACAATCATTTGCTCCCACGTCGATTATATTACCTGGTGATCTGTTCTACAAGTCAGTAATCCTGTTTCAAAGCCACTATTTACCCAGGTTTTCCTAAATCTAAATTTATCCTATTTATATCCATTGTTTCGTGTTCTGTTTTGAGTTAATATATTTAATGCTTCATTAGTATTAATGCTGTACTTCACTACAAGGTTAAGGATGTTGCAAAGAATTCATTGTTGGCATGTGTTGCGAAGAATTCATTATTGGCATCACAAGTGTCTGTGGGGCACAGACGAGAAGTCGGTCAGTTACAGCCCCCGCTTGTGTGCCAGGTAAGTCCACTGCGGGCTCACCATAGCCCTGCTTGATACCTGCTTGATGTTGTTCTGGGAGTTCTTCTACTCTCCAAGCCCGGCCCGAGGCCAGTCTTCCCGTGTTACTTGGAACTTTTTGTTCCGAGTAGCTGAATATAAAACAACAACAACGTCTGTGAGACAACATTACCATTCTTAGTCCCTGACCTGTTGTGTGGACTGCGTTGGGGTTTTAATTACCAGGAACTATCGAGAATTTACACAGCCCGGCCTAATACTGTAAACAAAGGCCAAAGACCATTCCATGCACCCGTCAAACCCCCTGCTCATGAACGAAAAGCAGTTTACACACGACTCACAACTGATGACATCTGAACACTTCCGGACGCTGTTTAATTCCCAGGTACCTATTTACTGCTAGGTGAACAGGTACATTAGGGTGAAAGGGGGAGGGAATTATCAGGGGAAAGTGTCAAGCCATTATGACTATACTGTATAGTACTTGGAAGGGATCTGGATAAGGGTTTGAGATGGGACGGGGGGAAAAGAATGGTGCCCAATCACTTGGACGGTCGGGGATTGAATGTCGACCTGCATGAAGCGAGACTGTCGCTTTACCGTCCAGCCCAAGTGGTTGGGCATCAAGGTGTCCAAAGTTAACGTGGCCCAACCTGGATCTAACCTTGTAAAAATGCAACCATAAGACCTGATTAGGATTAAATATGTACTGTACTGTATTCCACATTTTATTAGGTAAAACATTTAACATTGTAGCATGGCCAGTTACCAGCATTACTAAATGATTGTGCCCCTCTATATTAACCTTTCAAATGAGAACAGGTTGCAGAAAACTTACAATAATAATCAACTTGTCATCCAACCAGGCAAAAGGCAAAATTTGTTCCTCCAACATGTCCTTTACACATAATGTGCATATTCTTCCCCCCCTTCCCCCCTCTTCCCCCCCCTTCCCCCCCCTTTCCCCCCTTTCCCCCCCCTCCCCCCCCCCCCCCTTCCCCCCCCTTCCCCCCTCTTCCCCCCTCTTTCCCCCCTTCCCCCCCTCTTCCCCCTCTTTCCCCCCTCTTTCCCCCTCTTTCCCCCTCTTCCCCCCTTCCCCCCTCTTCCCCCCCTTCCCCCCCTTCCCCCCTCTTCCCCCCCTTCCCCCCCTTCCCCCCCCCTTCCCCCTCTTCCCCCCCTTCCCCCTCTTCCCCCCTCTTCCCCCCCCCCTTCCCCCCCCTTCCCCCCCTTACCCCCCTTCCCCCCCCCTTACCCCTTTCCCCCCCCCCTTACCCCTTTCCCCCCCCCCCCCTTACCCCTTCCCCCCCCCCCTTACCCCTTTCCCCCCCCTTCCCCCTCTTTCCCCCCCCCCTTCCCCCTCTTTCCCTCTCTCTCTCTCCCTACTCCTGAAACGAAATTAAACACTTTCAAATGTATTTATTCATATCTTCATGTTCAAATAGCCATATAATCTTACTACCAGAAATCATGTTTTAGGCAATCAAATTCTATTATTGCCCCTTCCTTTATTATTATTATTATTTTTTTTTTACAGATCCCTTAACCTGGAGCAGGAAGCGAGAGAAAGAGAATCTGAAAAAGAAAGAAACAAACTTTTGGGTATAGCTACACCAGCTTCCTCTAATGATAATAGTAAGTAACAAAATGTTTGTCGTGTCATGTTTATCATGTGTTTGCGTTGCTGATTTCACCAGTTTCTGGATTACCTAACTGTTATTTGCTGTGTAATTGTTTTTACTGATGTGCCAATTACAGTTTTGGACATGTGTTGCCATCGTGCTGATGCCATTCACATGATTGATTGGCTTTCCTTTCATCTGACATGGGCTAAGGTTTAGACCATGCAGCAGGGGTACAGCTTTCTTGACAGTGCCAGTGCTCCCTCATCATTCATTACACTTACTAAGATTGTTTAGATTTGTATATCTCCATTTATTCACACCTTTGCCTTAAAATTGTGTGGTTTGTTGAGCTACATTACTTATATTTTTTCCACCTTTCATTTTCCTGGTCTGCTGGTCCAACTTGTATCATTTATGGCACTATCAAGACAAGATCCTCTTCACCTTTCTCACTTCTACATTCATTCCTCATGGCCATATTTCGACATCAGTTATTCATTTATTCTCATGGCTATGCTATGACAGCAGTAACTCATTTATTCATTTCTCCACGCGCATTCTACATAAACATCTTTTATTTTCTTTATTTTAATGAATAGGTTTAACAACGTATGTAGCTACAGTACTTTGACAATTGTGTTTAAGTAGGATTTGACAGTACTGTAATTAGATTTTAACATTTTAAAGGTTAATATGTTCAGTATTTATGGAGGGACACAAATTACATTTGAAGTTAATCAGCTTAAGTTACTACATGCTGAACACGGTACAAGAAATATTGACATTTGGCCATTGTAATTCCTGCAAGTGTCTTAAAGTGTTTGTATTAAACAAAGTGTTTGTGTGGAGAAAAGAGAGTTAATGTGCAGTAGGATAAAATGTTCTGTAATGATCTGAAAATTGATATCAGGAAATATGGGTCCAGTGTTACAGTGGTCTATGTCCATGTCCCTGACTCATAATCAAGGATCCTGGGTTCGATCCCCGGGTGGAACGGAAATGGTTGGTCATATTTTTTTTCACCTAATGCCTCTGTTTACCCAGCAGTAAATAGTTATCCATGAGCTAGTCAACTGTTGTGGGCTGAATCCTGGGAAGAGTTAGTAGTCGACCTAAGGAGACCTCGATAAGTCGAAGTACAGTACAGTACTGTATAGGCTACTTGTTCTAAACTATGGGAATTATACAAGACTAAAATTGTTTAGAGATGACTGAAAGCTCTTTTAACAATGCGAGATGGCAAATGTAGGAAAGTCAGAAGATTGGAATGAAATTTGAAGTAGGTACATATGTTTTAAGAATGTAAAAATTGAAATTGCAGCATAGTATTATATTACAGTAAAACATTTTGCATGATGTGGGAGTGAAATTGGAGTTGCGTGATAGAATGTAAAATTAACCCTTTATGTACTCATACTCATTTAAATATACAGTAATATATATAATCATTTTATACTCATTTAAACTTGAGTATAAAGTATTAAACTTGAGTTCAGTATATGGGGGAAAAGGTTACTTACCAGAGACCTTCAAAACTCCAAGTTTTTCCACTCTAATCTCACAGCATATACCTGAACATTATTTGATATTCCTGCAACTTTTTGGTCACAATAAAGTACATAATGAAGTTCAGAATACTGTACAGTATGTACTTGGAAAGTGCCATTATGTAATACTATCCCCAAAAAGTGGTCAGAGTGTGGTATTTGGACACACTGTACTTAAACAATATCTGTTGCATGAATCTTGTTTACCAACTTCAGTATGGGTAACTCCATCCCTACATAATTTGAATTTTGACGTTAAGATCAAAATTGCGAAATTCTGAATCTGTAATATTTGAAGATGCATATTGGTGTAAACCGGTACAGGTTTTTGTGTACACGGGTGCATACTGGTGCCCATTTCTTTGTACTCTGGTGCAAATTTGGTTGCACCCGAGTGCATGTCAAGGGCCTGACAGCTGAGTGGACAGCTCTTCGGATTCAGTCCTGAGGTTCCGGGTCTGATCCCCAGTGGAGGCGGAAACAAATAGGCAGAGTTTCTTTCACCCTGATTCCCCAGTTACATAGCAGTAAAATAGGTACCTGGGATTTAGACAGCTGCTACAGGCTGCTTCCTAGGGGTGTGTAACAAAAAGGAAGCCTGGTTGAGGACCGGGCTGCGGGGACACTAAGCCCCGAAATCATCTCAAGATAACCTCAAAATGGTCCTCATTGTTACTATAAGTACTGTACTACCAAAACAGGAGGATGGGCTGCATGCACAGACTGTAATACTGTGTCATTTTGTGGACAAACCCTTTCTTTATTAAATTCATAACAAGGTTTTCCAGAGATTTAATCAAATTATTTTTTAATTGAACTTACTAGACTAAAATGATTTAAGTGGCAAAAGGCTGGCATCTTTATTCTTTATATGCAGTGGTTATTTTCTGATTCTTACTCCTGAGAAAGTTAGTGACCCCAATGAAACATTGAGCAAAGGTGTACTGTATTGAACTACAGTACTGTACTCTTTAAGTATTTTTTATTCTGTATTGTACACAATCTTCCATATAATTTCAACACAGATTTACAATCTATTATTTTTTGCAGCTCATCCCATATCAAGAACAATTATTTTAGATTCTAATGGTTGATGTGTCAGTGTGTTGATTGAATCTAGGTAACTTTTTCTCTGCAGATGTACAAACGCTGGACACAATGCAAGCACTGTGCTTGCCGCTTGGGGCATCTGTTTCACTCCTTATAATGTTCTTCTTCTTTGACTCCATGCAGATGCTCTTTGCTGTCTGCACCGCAAGTATGTATTTCCCAAAGCAGTCCCAAAATATTTTAAGTGTTTCAATTTATTGCATAATGTGGCAACTTTTGTGTTAAAAAAAAAATCACTAAAATCATGTATTAGTTTTCAAATGTTTATAACACTTTAATTAGTATTGCTAATGCAATATAGATAATATATATATCTAAATAGAATTAATTGTCTCTACTGTATAATAATTAATGCTTAAATTAAATCTTTAACTGTAAATGCAGCTTTAAGATATAAATAAGAAAAAGGTATTTTGTACTTTTTGTAATGAGTTGTAACAGTCGGCTACACAGCTGCTGTTAGCAGAATGTATTAAATTTAGATTTGATCTCGATTAAATAAAGATCCACTTTAATTTAGAATGTTAATTTTGTTTATATAGGGCATGTTATTCAAATGTTACTTTGTATAGCAATAAGCAATATAGCATTGGTGTGTTTTGTAGTCCTTTTAGCTTTGACATAAATGATCATTCTGCGTGTTCGTAAGTAGAGTACTTTATTTTAAATTACAGGTGACTGTTTCTATGTTCGCCATTATCAGTACAGAATTTCTGTTACTGCAACACATACTGTGTTGCCATTGCTTTCTTTCAGCTTAGCCGGGACCATTGTTGATTTCTTTATGTTGTGTTTACTTGAGGTTGTTAAATGAAACTATTATAAATCAAATCTTAATGTTATGCATTAAGAAAGAGGTATCTTGCCTAATTTAGTATTCAATAGATACTTTTATGCAATAGGAAAATTTAAAAAAATTTGTATGGTCATTATTTTTTTTATCTTCAAAGAGAAAAGATAAATATTTGTGTCACTTTCCAAAATTCTTAGAAAACTATTATTAATGATTCTCAAAATACATGATTCAGATCAATTTCTTTCTTTATTATGCACCCTTCCCCCTCCAAAATCTTAGCAAAGTATCCAAAATGCATGAAAGAAATTTTGAGGACAATTACCAAAAAGTTGCAAAAAAATATGAATTCCATATACAGTATTGTATATTCTTGAATGTGTGCTCATTTCTTTACAAAAGAATTAATGTTTTCATTGCCATTTTTTTCAGTTATAGCTACGGTAGCACTTGCGTTCCTCCTGCTGCCCATGTGTCAGTATATAAGCCGACCATGTTCCGATAACAAAAAGTAAGACAATTGTTGTACATTTTGGATTCTAAATTGTCCCAATGTTACTATATTGGTGTGAGTTAGGCATAACTTTTGGTTTTGTCATGTTTAATATTTGTTCACGTTATTCTCCATGAATTGGCTGCATGGTATTCGGTTAATATCTTGAAAATGTCAACAACATTTAGGTATATTGACAAACCTCCAACATGCACATCGTACTGGTGTTAAGAGCACAGAATGTTGAAAGAAAAGTGCTTGCTATAAAACACAAAGCCAACATAAGACACAGCTTTGGCAACACATATGACAAAGCTGTGTCCTAACAAACTGTCTAACTACCATTTGGGTGATATAAATCTCCTCCCATTGCATGTTGGAGATGGTGCCACTTTGGGGACTGGCCCAACAATGCTCGGTGTTGTTTAGAAGATTGTCGTGTTTGGGTAGTGCCCCAATCAGTCCCTGTCCAATAATGAAACTTTAGCAGCTGCAACTAAGCTTCAGGTTAAGGCTAACTTTGTTGATTGAGTAGTTCAGTAGTATCACTTGATCCCATCTATTTTGAGGATGATATTGCCTGTCAAGTTTATTTGATCTATGAGGACTTTAGTACAAATCTCTCGGGGTTCTTCTCAAACTCTATTTGGCATTCAAGTAAGTTTATTGAAACTATAAAATACATCTCGAAATGATAGAGTAGCTTAGGCTGTTTTAATCCTTCCCTATTTGGAGTCACTGTCTCGGCCCCTGTTAGAGCTTGCAAGTATCTGGTTTACCCTCCCTCACCTATCACTGCAGGCCATAAGCTGCTTTGGTTCCATCTTACAGAAGTGCTTCTTGGTGTTGGATGGGAAGTTAAGGGGGCGTCTGGTTGGCATCTGGGTCCAAAAATGCAAAAATGAAAACTCGTTCGATTTCAATCAAACTTTTTTGACAAGTTCTATATGAAAAGTGTTTCATCTGGTCCAAGTTTCAGCATTGTAGCATAAATAGGAAGGGAGAAAAAAAATATTGAAGTAGTTGTGAAAATTATGCAAAAATGGTCAAAATCGATTATCAATCAAAAGTGTCAACTGAAATCATAACTACGACTCTTTGCTATCACAATAGCATATATTAAAAAAATATTATAATTAGTTTAATTGGAAAAAAATTTAAGAAAAAAAAAAAAGGATTTTTTTTTTCTTTTTTTTTTTTTAATATTTTTATTTATTTTTTTTTTTTGGGCGATTTGCATCAAACTTACACACCTGACTGTACGTAAGCCTATCTGTAAGGATGCCAATTTTAGAGAAAATTGGTTGATGTCAACCTCAGCCACAGATTTTAGAACCTTAGACTTTATTCATTTCTGTTTTTTTTCAGTTGACACAAACGTTTACAAAACTGATTCCTTTTTTATTCAATTTACATGAAACTTACACAGTATATGTGGAGGGCATGTCTCTACATTGGGGGGCTTTCATTTTTCTCTAAGTTCATTTATTGATTTTATAATAGCAATAAACATGCCATATTTGCAAAAAATAATTGGGGAACTTTGAACATTTGTATTAGGAAAACTAAAGATGTTTTGGAAATTCTAAATCCCCAAATCCTTTATCATATGCTAATGTGTCAGAAAAGTGTCACAGAATAATTATATCTGAAACGTGTGTTCTGAAGTGTGGACTTGAAAATGTGTAAAAAACGTTGAAAAAAAAAAACAAAAAAAAACTCCCTTTCTATTTACGCTGCAGTACTGAAACTTGGGACAATTTAAGCACTTTTCATATACAACTAGAAAATTAATATTGGTTGACATTGAACAACTTTCACTATAATAACCAGGCGCCCCCTTAAGGGTTGCAGAAGGGATGGTATTGTTGCAGAAGGTTTGCTTTGGAGATGTGAGTTTAGGCCAGAGCCTAAAAGAAAAGGGTGGTCTTTCTCATATCTTGGAGCTGGAAACCCTCTTTGCAGGGTCTTTTGTCTCCTGGTATTGGTCTGGGCATTGGGATCAGCTCCATGGCTTGACTTGCAGCTCAGCTCTTCATAAAACATGGTGGGTACTGAGGTTCGATCTTGAGCTCTCATGGAAGATCCAATCTGATTTACTGTTGACTCATCAGGGTTTTGGTTTCAAGGTTAAATGCTAGGTAGTTATATTTGTATCTCCAGATTCTGGGAGATTCTGTATCCTCTTTGACAGTTTAAGTGCGATGCCTCTACCTTCCCACCCCAAATCTAGTTCGTCATGTCCCTTCTTGGTTATGATAGTCCAGTTTTGCACGGGTTCTCTCAGAATTACCTCTGCTCTGCAGATCTGTTGTTATTCCTCTTACACAACGGGGGTCTATGCTTTTAAGCTTGATCCGGCTTAATTAAATTTTGTCTACATCTGCTCTCTGATTGTGGTACCTGGTTTCTCTCTATGGTTAAGGAACATTTTTTTTTTCTGAGGGAGAATGACATCTCTGCCATATTAAAGTGTTGGATTGGAAGAAGGTGTGCCCTATTTTCTGTACTCTCCTAGTTGTGCTTGTGGGTGTTGAGCTTTGGCTTTTTGGTCTCGCGTAATCTGTTTGTTGTTTGTTGTGTAGGTTCCCGACTTTCTGAATCTGACCCTGTATGTTCAACATGCAGGTTACCCCGTGTCACATACATAGTGAGATACAGTGTGAATAAATGCTACATAATGGATTGTATACCAGGAAAAAGCAGGCCATAATTATGTAAGAAAATGCTAAAGTGTTTAAGATGCTAAAGAAATTTGACCTACATGAGACTCAAATTGGAATATGCAGCAGTTGTGTGGTGTCCATATCTTGAAAAAGAAAATGCAATATATAAATTAGGAAAGGTGCAAAGATATGGTATTGTATGATTTCTAGACCTAAAACTTAAAAGCTGTAAGAAAAGGTTAGAGTCTTTAAACACACTAAAGCTAGCAGACAGAAGAAAACGAGAACAAGAAGTCATCAATTCAAGCTTAGAAAGCAAAGGGGCAGGGAAATTATATTTGAGAATTATATTTTGTGAACAGAATAGTAGATGAGTGGTATACATACATTAAATGAAAAGATTGTAGATACCAAAACCATAACAAAATTTAAAAAATTATGAAATAGATAATAAGGAAGCTGGGAGACCACAAATATAGTTCTCATTCTGTATCTACACACACACAAACACTTCCTCCCTACTTATACACACTTGTTACACTTTCAGCCATAAATGGTTCCTCTGTACACACACCATGAACTTTGTGTAAAAAGTAATTACTAGTAACAAGAGATTCATATTCTTCAAACCCAAACAGAAGCTGATGGTAATTATATTAGTGATCACCTTTTCTCTCATTTTTTCTTTTTTTTTTTTTTGTTTTCTCATAATTTATTTGCCTTTCCCATGTTATATTTGTTAAGCAATTGAAGAAGTAATTTCATTAATTAAGCAAGATACAGTGGTACCTCAGTTTAAGAGTTTAATCCGTTCCTGGAGACAGCTCGTATTCCGAAAACTCGTAATCCGAAGCTAATTTCCCCATAAGAAATAATGGGAAATGAATTAATCCGTTCCTTGACTACCCAAAAACCTTATTTCAAACTAAATTTTATACCTAATTCATCTAAATAAACCTACAAAACTATGTTCAAGTTAATACTTACCTTGCTGATGACTGCTGTTGGGGGTATGGAAGATGGTGAGGAGGAGAAGAGGTGTTACTGTTTGGAAGTGGAGTCCCCTTCCATTATAACATCAGGCAGTGAGGACTTCACTGGTGTGCACACACTGGCACGTTTTGCCTGCATACCACTAGGACTTGCTTGTCTTACTAGGAATCTGTCTAAAGACACTTGTTTTTCCCTACATTTTAACACTTGTCTGTAGTAAGACATCACATTGTCATTTAAAAGGTCAATGCAACGGCTTGCTACAGCTTTATCTGGGTGAGTTTTTTCAACAAAAGTTTGCAATTCTTCCCATACTTCACACATTTTCTTAACACTTTAGCGTTATCACGGCGCTCGAGAGCGTTACCACTTTTTGTGTTGAGGTCGCACAGCGGACTCGCTCACGAGTCACAAGAAAAAATATTTCTATAAACTCTATTTGTTATGCGATCGACTTTGGGATTAGTTTGAAAATGTTCGCCAAGAAATTTCCATTTTCTCTAATAGCTGCATTGCCTATTTGGGAGAATGGCATAGCATTGCACCATCGTGGTAAGACCATTGTATTGTTGACATGACAAGTGTAATCGACGTGTTTTTTATTTAGTGCCGGTCTAACGCATCCTTGTGTGACATTTTATACTTATGTTCTTCTAGAACGTTCTATTACGAACACATTGGTACAAAAATGAAATACGTACATCGAAAATTAATGTCAGAACAGTGAAAAGAATATACACTTTTCAATAGGGGTTTCGCTGATGTGCCGTCACGGGTAACACTTCGGCCACTTCCCACACTATTGTGGGTGGGTTACGACATTGATTCTACATTTATATGCATATGTCTGTGTAGGGAATTTTATTGCGATCTCAATGATACCAAATGTAACGCTGTAGGACAAGTGTGGAGTTGACAACCCTGAAAAGAGTAGCAACATTTCGTCGCTGTTTGGCACTCACGGCTAGTGATCACCGTAGTTCTTTATTTGGTGCTGGTCTAACTCATGCTTTGGTGACATTTTATATGTATGTTCTCCTAGAACATTCTATTGTGAACACATTGGTACAAAAATGAAATACATACATTGAAAATTAATGTCAGGACAGTGAAATGAGTATACACTTTTCAGTGTTGCCGCTCGATTGCCCGAAACGCTGCACTATTTTCTTAGGTTGAAACTTACCACTGGCTTTCTTGGGACCCATGGCGAGATATATAATAACAACTTTTATGCTCAAATGGCCAAAAATCAGACAAAAAACCATAAATCCTTGTGAAGAATTCAGGTGGGATAGTCACTGGGCGCAAGGTACTGGTAAACTGAGGCGCAATCGCCGTGCCACCACGTGCTAGTCGGCCTGTACATGTATCAACACCTCGTCTTCCAAGGCAACCCTCGCCTTTCAAGGCAAATTTTCCGAGCAAATCCTGCTCGTATTCCGAAAAACTCGTATACAGGGACACTCGTATTCCGAGGTACCACTATAGTATCGTATTTCAAAGCATCTTAAAGATGTTCTTTGTGTTGATGAATGACACTCGATGCCATAATTGTTTTACTGCTTAGTCATTTTTTTTCTATAGTAACTTACTGATTTTCAACAATTTGGATGTTATTTATGAACACCTTAAAGTTTTTTTAATTACAATTACTACTGTATCTCTATTTTATAAAGGTCTGTAAAATTTAAACCTTTTCTTTTCAGAATATCATTTGGCATGTGTGGAAGGTTCACTGGGGCAGAGATCATGGCGTTCTGCCTTTCAGTGTCCATCGTATGCATCTGGGTTATGACTGGCCATTGGCTGCTCATGGATGGTGAGAATGCTCTTTATACAGTGTAAGGTCTCCATAAACATCATGGCAAAAGAGCTGTATAGTTATACACATTATTATAGTTACATTATGTAAGCCTACGGAGCACGGGTTTAGCATTTTGATGTTCTTGAAAGTTTTTGTTTCATTTATCAACAGTTATTGTATGTATTTATAATCATTTTAAAACTCTCCAACTAGTTAAATGTTCATAATCTAAAAATTATATCTGTTTCATGTACAAGGACTAATCAGGTTTAAAGTCATTCTGAATACAAAGCATATTCCCAAGGGTTCAGTCCTATAAGATCTAGAATGCTCAGTAATGAGCCATCTCTCTCTGATTAGAATTCCTTTATCAATATGTATCTTCAACATTTACTTATTAGCCTCAAATTATTTAGTTAGTCTTTAGGATGGTCTCTATTGGCCAATGTCTACATGGCACAATTCGCACACCAGGCTATAGTCTGGTTTTATTGGTTTTCTCTCACAGGGCAGGAATAGAATGGAAAATCAGTAGGCTATGAATGATCTCCTCTTGCTGTAAGACAAAAGAACAGAAACAATCCACTCGATACCTCCCTGCAAGTGGTCTTTGGAATCTTAAGGAAATCCAGTTATTGCTCTGCTAACCTTGGTTTATTAATTAGTATGTGTCAACCACCACTTGTTGGTAGGATTAGCTCCTTCGAAAGAGTCAGGGAAGCCAGCAATCCTCACATTTTGATTAGTAGCACATATGTTTGCACTCTGCTCTGCAGAGACCAATTTAGTTAAATTGGTTAGTTGCTCTTTACAACTTTTATGTCTGTCCTTGGAGTCCCATGCTTTGGTGTTTGTTAAACAGTCGTTTGTTCATCTCTGGATATACAATAGCTATCTGCTTCAGCCTTGTTTCAGGGTTTGTTTCCCTGTATAATTATTGAGAGCCTGTAGCACCTGGAATTATCTTACCTACTGCTGTTTGTATAGCCTTCTGCTGGATTTGCCACCTCTTGAGTTTTGCTACCTTACCGGTGCCTTTGAACTTTGATTCTGACCTGAGTCTGGGTGCTGGGCTCTGTTTGCACACAGATGGAAACTACACACACATACAGTAGTCTCAAACATTATTTTGTGGCATTTCTCTCCTACTGGGTATTTCCTTGTGGGTGTAAATGTGGCTTGCTTTTGTTTGCTTTTGGTTTATCTTGTGCAAGTGCTTGTCTCTTCCTATCCTTACTGGTACAGTTCAGTACAGTACTTGTTTTGGTAAGTGCCTACCTATCGATTACATGCCCCTTGTGACTAGGCTGCTTCCTTGAAATGGTTCTTTTGGTTAGTATAACCAAAGAATAAACCAGGCCCAGGCTTATAAGGTGTGCTTCTATTTGGCCCCAAAAAGTCTCCTGCTTTGGTGATTTTTTCTTCAGCTTTTCAGGGGTTCAGTCTCATGGCGTCCTACTCTGTCACTCTAGTTCTTCTCTGATGTGTGGGCTGTGGAGTCAGACTTTGTTTCCAGCCTTCATCATTTCAATTAGAGATGTTGATCTCTGGCATTAATATACACATTCATCAGCATCAGGGAGATGATGATGGTTTAATGGAGTTGCATTGTATATTTCTCATATGGGCTTAGCATCCCAGATGCACTTGGTTCAACTTTTCCTGATTTCTTGTGACACTGGACTCTGGCCATAATCTCTCTCTTGGCTTCTCAAGATTTCATCTTCATAGTAGTTCATTGTCAAGGCATATCAATTGTGCACATGAATGACTTCTCTCACATACAACCAATTGGGATGGAATGGGAGATGCACATGGCCTCATTTTGTTGGACATGCTCAGTGTTCAGCCTGCCTCCATAGGCAACTACCGTACAAGTTGTCTCTAATTTGGCCCTATCTCTTGGCATTAAAGCATTTACAATAGATTTGCTACAGCTTGACTGGATGGAGCAAGTCGGAGATAGAATATTTTTTTCCTGCAATCCAGATTTGCTGCCCTTATCAAAGTTAGATAGCCTTTTGGCCTGCATGATTTTGTTGGCTCCCATGCATGTGGTTTAGCCCTGGCTCCCAGCATCCCTGTCTTGTTTCTCCAGCCTGGTTCTCCTCCCAGGCTTTATCTCCTCCAGCAGATCAGCAGTCAGACATCTAGCAGACTGGTTTTCACTTGAGCAGAACTGCCATATAATAACTGCATTCAGTAATGCACACAAGTTACTCACACGGTGTTTAGAGAAGCATGTATGATCGATAATTTCCTGAAAGAAATTTACATTCATGTTAATAATATAGGAATTAGTAATGCACATTATTTGTTATTCCTGAAATATAAAGCATTCCAAATTTAAGCAAACAAATTAGTTTGTTTGCGTAACAAACAAACTTTGGTCTGAGTTTAGCTCTCACTAGATCCCTTCCTACTTAATTGTTGGGTAACCTTAAATTGTATCCACTTCAGAAATTTTCATAATTTTCAATAATTGATCTGTGCTGTCTTTTCTTCAAATTATGGCATTTGGCATACCTTATTGCATGATTATTACATTACCTGTAAAACCCCTCTTTTATCATTCAACAATTATATAAATAACAATATTTTATTATATGTTTTCAGCAATGGGTATGGGCTTGTGTGTGGCATTCATTGCGTTTGTCCGTCTCCCAAGTCTAAAGGTGTCCACGCTGCTCTTGACTGGCCTTCTTGTGTACGATGTCTTCTGGGTATTTTTCTCATCGTATCTGTTTAATGCCAATGTTATGGTTAAGGTAAGGTGACATGCCTCGGTAAATGCTGTTCATATGTTCTTACCATACTTATGCTGCAATCAGCATCTGAAGTACAGTACAGTACTGTAATGTATTTTTGCAGTGCATTTTCCCTTTAAATGGTTAATATTATTTTGCTCCTATTTTGCGTTGCCCATCATTTTCTGCTCTTTTGTGCAATGTTAGTTTTATCATGAAGTTTACACTCATAATTATATCCTATATCTCTCACGTGTTCGGTGAAAATATATACATACTTTACAGTGGTACCTCCGTTTTCGAATTTAATCCGTCCCAGAGACGGTTCGAAAACCAAAATTAATTTTCCCATAAGAAATAATGTAAATTAAATTAATCCGTTTCACACGCCCAAAAATATTAACTTAAAATACATTTAATACATACTACCACTTATACTTTGTACAACAGTATGTATAAGTATATCTTACCCTTATTGAGGACTCGTGTTGGTGTATGGAAGACAGGAAGGGGGAAGTAGGAGAGGTGTTGGTGTATGGAAGGGGAGTCCCCTTCCATTATAACAGCAGTGATGGCATTTCTGGGGTACTCTCTCTCTCTCTCACGTTTTTGCAGGCATACCACTAGGACCTGGTTGTGGCCCACTACTTGCTTGTCTTACTAAGAATCTGTCTATAGACACTTGTTTTTCCTTACATTTTAACACTTGTCTGTAGTGAGACATCACATTGTCTCACTATGAATGATCTCTTGTTTTTCCTCTATCATCTCACAACTATTTTCTTAGGTTGAACTTTACCACTGGCTTTCTTGGAACCCATGGTGTGATATATAATGAGAACTTTTATGTTCAGAAACAGAAAAAAAAAAAAAAGCACAAAAAATGAAATTCTTCACAAAGAATTCAAGTGCGATCGTCACTAGGCGGGAGACACTGGTAAACTTTTTTCCAGTGTAAACTGAAGCGAACCACACACCAAGTCGGCCCATACGTGTATCAACAAACTTGAGCACTGAGGCAAACCTTAAATATCGAGTCAAATTTGCGGAGAAATTGAGCTCGAGAACCCAAAAATTTGAAAACGGGCTTTCGAAAACCGAGGTTCCACTGTATACAGCATTGTTCATCTCTCTTTGTTTGACAGTCATGGTAATTTTTTGTTTTTGCCATATTATCCTTTACACTGCTTTCTGAAATACTTATCTCCACATAAAAAAATATGTTTACATACACGTACAGTATATATTATTGTGAAAAATATGAAAAAATTAAAACATTCCTTAATGTTGCATGATGTTGCATTATTATGTTTACCAAGTTTTCTAAATTGTATGTTCTCTTTAATCATAACATTAAAGAAAAGTAATGGTTTTAAAGTAGCAGGTAACTTCAAGTAAAATTGTAAATACATGTAAAAAAAAAAAAAAAATTGGTTGTATGTTCATTCCTTCCGAGTGATAGTCATATGGTCCCAGATTCTTCAATTTCATGTTCTTTTATGCATAATAATAATATTGTTATCTTGTGGATATTTTAGTACCAGAGAGAATTGTTATTGTTGTTGGTGCAATATTTCATATGCTGACTACAGTAATTCAAACAGCCACAAGTAAAAATATTGAGGAGCACCAGTCAGGATATGGACTTTGTTGTTGTATCATGCTGTATCATGCTTGAGGAGTACCAGTTGCAACCTATAAGTTAATATCTGTCCACCTTGCCCTCTTCTCTCTGTATTTTATGTGTAGCACCGTATTTTTCTCTGATTGTCCTCTCTCCAGGGTTGGTAGGTCAAGTTTCCTTAACCTCTCTTCATGGCTTAGATGTCTTATATTGGCCACTAGCCTTGTTATAAACCTCTGGAGTTTTCTAATTTTCTGTGTTCATGAGATAAGGACCTCATGCCAATGCTTCATTTGTTAGAAAGGATTCAGCATAGCAGTGCATATTGGATTTGACTGTTAACCCAGGAAAGATTGACTGAGCACCAATACTTAACTGTTGACACCAGCAGTAATTGAAGACCTTGTTGTGGACCAATTAGGTGTGTTCCATGAAAAACTTTTAGCATAAGGCTTTCCATGAGCTATGGGAAGGAAAAGCTTTCGGCCCGCTGACAGGAATTGATATTCATCTACTCCTGATATTATCCTTTTTGTGCTTAGCATTATTGCTGGTATCATGTCTCAAATATTTACATGTGATTCTTGTAACTTGGCTTCTCTCCTTTCTTTATCAGCATTACCTTGCATTTGCTATGGTTGAACTCTAGCAGTCATCTTACTGCCCAGTACTGTAGCTTGTTAATGTCTTTATGCAGAATCCTCCTCAGTCTTTTCTCTCTTCATTGACTTTGCATTGTCTGTAAATATTGACATGGGAACTCTCCCCTACAGATATATTAGACCATTGACATTAGAAACAGCAGAGGATCGAGAACAGAACCTTGGAAAAACATCAATTGCTACATTCCTTCATTCATGCATTCCACTTGGCCCCACTTATATTGTATTATGATGACTCTCCCATAGAACTTGGCTAAGTTTGTCAGACCCAACTTTTTCCTCTAAAATCATGTAACACTTACCATTTGTCATGTGTGTAATCACTCTGATACTCATCTTTATTGTATTTAACTTTAATACTTAGTATATAGATTCTTATTAAAATGCTCACTACTCAATTCAGCACTGATAACTGTTAAACCTTGAGATCTTGTCAGGGATTGGACCATGGGGGGGGGGGGGGGGGGCATTGATTCCTGAAAGCAGCAAAAGATAGCCTAAAAGTATCTTTCTGAGCTAGGCTACTCGGTTACTTCCCATACCAGGGCCTCATGGTCCAACCAGGATACAATACACATGCTCCCACCATGATTGATCTATCTCCCTACCATGGAAAAGATCTTTGAAAAGGGTCTTATCATCATCGAATAGCTGCTTGCTATTATACAATACAACAGAATAATACACTCAACACCTCCTGGAAGTAGTGATTGGAGTTTCTAGAAAAAATAAATATTGTTCTGCTAAATAATGGTTAGTAATTAGCTTCTACATCTTCTGTCACTAGATGGAAGCACAAGTCATAACAACACTGTTGGGGGGTGCAAGTAGACCTGACATAAAACATGACGAGTCACCCTTACACATCCTAGCTCTGCAGAAGCCAATTCAGTAAAGGGAGATTGGTTGTTCCTTTAGGTATTTGTCTTTATGCAGGGGGTTCCATGTTTTAATGTTAACTTTACTATGTGATGGGTGATTTATTTGATGTCTCTGACCATTTTTGTGTTTCAGATAAATTTCGGGTTTACCCTTCCGCTGCTAATTGTCGAAACATCAGTTCTTTCGTCCCTCTTGCATTCGTTGGAAATATTCCCTCTCGGTTGGGGAACCCCTTCCCTCTGATGTTCCTCCGTCATTCCTCCAGCGATGGAGGAACATCTGTCGATGTTTTTGGAGCTATTCATGTATTGTAGTTTCTTTAGGTAATTTGTTGTTCCTCAGTGATTGCACTTCTGTGCATATTTGATAGTCTGGCATATGTCCATCTATGATCTCCTACCTTTGAACTCTACTCTGGTTCTGTTTTAGAAACAACCTGAAACCTCTTAAGATCTTCAACAGAGCTTGTTTTACTCAAGGATGTCCCCTTCTCTTCTCAGATTAATCACATGATCCTTTTCCGTTGTTTTTCTCTATGTTGCTGTGTAGTTAGCCATTTCTACAACTAAATTTTTCAGAGAGAGTTGCTTTGAATGGGGCAGCTGTTGATACAATGGGCACCAAGAATTCACCATCTATTTGAGTTGACCTGTAAGAAAGGTGATAATAGAGCACCCTGCAAAATATGCAATTTTAACTTTATGTAATTACCTCAGCAATATTACTTGATTTTCATGGTATAACATTTCATAGGTAGCAACTCGGCCAGCAGACAACCCAGTGGGCGTAATGGCTCGTAAGCTTCATTTGGGCAACATGGGACGAGAGGCTCCCAAACTCTCTCTCCCGGGCAAGTTGGTCTTCCCATCCATGCACAACAGTGGCCACTTCTCTATGCTTGGCCTGGGAGATATTGTAAGCTCATTATATGCCATTTAATTCACCTTTCTTAAATATGAACTTTGCCATAATATTTGGACACGTATATAGTATATAAAATAATTGTTTAGTACAGTGTATATGTCCCTAAGTTTTTTTATACAGTTTTTGGTTCTATTTTTAAGTAATGTTTTCTTGAAATGTATTTTTTGACTAGAATTATCTTCATGATGTCTCATAGAACCTCTAATATATTCACAGGTAATGCCAGGCTTGTTGTTATGTTTTGTTTTACGGTACGATGCCTACAAGAAGGCTCAGCTGTTATCTGCCGAGGCTGGAGTACCACCTCCTTCAAATTTAAATAAAATAAGGTGTGTTAAAATACATTATACAACAGACAGTTGCTATCCACTGGTATACATTCGTGTGACATGTATGAATTGTAAAACTACTTAAGCATATTAGTGGCTTTGCAAGTGTAAAAAATTAACCACCGAAATGGACAATAGGTTTGCCGAGAAACAAGATAACTATATTTTTAAAAGTAATAAATGACTTAAAAATGAAATAAAAAACATAATAATATAGGAAATTGAAAACATTCATTACATTAGTGCCTACATGTGACCTAGAAGTAAATTCCATCATATTTGTGCTCATTATAATCTTATCTGAAGTATGAAAAGCTAATTTTATCTGAAATATAGGTAAAGCTAATCTCATGCTACTTTTTTATTCCACAGTTACTTCCATTGTTCCTTAATTGGATACTTCTTGGGGCTATTGACGGCAACCGTGTCGTCAGAGGTGTTCAAGGCGGCACAACCAGCACTGCTGTACTTGGTACCCTTTACGCTACTGCCTCTCCTCACCATGGCATACCTTAAGGTAAGCTGGACGCAGTCTTGCTTTGCAGTCAATTAATTTGGTTCTATCACAAAGGGGATAATAAAAAAAGAGGAGTAGGAGCATTAGTTATAAAGTAAAGAATATATTAGGAAAACACTGAAATGCACTGATAAGGAATTCTGACAGTGATGTTACAACCTGGTTGATAAAGCATTTTCTGAAGCATTATTTTCAGGTTTCTTCATCAATCCGAAACATTTCTTATACTTATTGACAATAAGTTGAAAAACATCTCTAACTTTATTGCATTTAGTATGCCATCTCTCAACTTAATGTGTGTGTTTATTTTATTAATACTACTAGCATTTTGCATGAATCTGTTCATTCATGTAAAATGCTAGTGTTAATAAAGTTAAAATAAATTGAAATTAATTCAAATTAAATGCTAGTCATTACATTGGGCAGTTACTTGGATATACCTGAAGTGGGTTTTGAGAATTATTCTTCCCAAGTCCATCCTGGTGTCTTGTGATAACTTGGTCTAGCAGGCTGTTGCTTCGAGCAGCTGACAAGCTATAAATGATATTGATCGAGGTTATCTTTCAGGGTGATCTGCGAAGAATGTGGAGCGAACCATTCATCATTCAGACACAGAGCAAGAACTTGGAAGTGTGACTGAGGGTGATGCTTAGAGTGTAGCCATAAGTGTGGTTAGTGTTTATTCTTAGTATGAAAATGTGTGACTCTTGGCAAAACAAGTTTCTGGATTCTTGGCTGTGTACATTGCCGTACACGTGAGAAGTGACAAGAAGAGTATTATATGTTTACCTGAGTTACTCCACTTCTCTGTGAAGAGACAATTCCAGACACCAAATGTACATATATATATAGATTTATTATATATATATATATATATATATATATATATATATATATATATATATATATATATATATATATATATATATATATATATATATATATATATATATTAATATGACAGTAGTTTAGTGTTGAAATATTATGAAAGAAATTAAAAATAATGATTCATAAAAAACTAAACAGTACTTCCATGCCTTTAAAACACAGTGATGTGGTGTTTTTGTGTGTACAATACTTTAAAAAAAATATCAGTGGCATCATGCAGTTGCAGTAGAACCTGGCCATAGGCGGGTTTGCTATTGTGTAAATCGCGTATTTTTTCTTCCTTATTGCCCTATTAATTGTAGAAAATATATTTTTTTCTTGTACCCATTGTTGTGAGGTGGCATAAAGTTGCTGGCATGCCTTGGGTGACAGTGAGGACTCTATCGCAAGCACTTCTTATGCTTTCTGTAGGTCGTAGTTGCTTGCCTTAAGTGTAAGTGCACAATTACAGTCATGTAAGACTAGTTCCCATCTGCTGTCAATTGGTCAGACTTCAATGCTGGTGCTGTATGCCACCCAGTGGAAAGAAATACTTCTCTTATACAGTGCCATTGTATGGTCAGATGCATCACTGATGCTAGATGCCACTAATTGGTCAGAAGCATCACACTGATGCTGGATGCCTAATTGGTCAGAAGCATCATAGTGATAATGCGTCATCCAGTTTCAAAGTACTCTGCTGATGTTGTATAGCACCCAGTGGTTAGAAACTATGTGCTGGTGGGGAGTTATTTAATTGTTAAAATGTAACCCTTGTACTGTATGTCATCTAATGGTCATAGAATCATCATTGTTATCATTAATCATCACTGTCTTGTTCATAACTTCAATATTGAAACTGCCTTGTAGTAGTCATTATAACAAGGCTTGCAGCCCAGTAATTATAACTGCAGTGTTAGTTTTAGGTTTATTTGTCACCTAGCAGTTACGTATAACTGTAAGACCATCTAGCAGTCAAGGTGTTTATGTTAATACCATCAGCCCCAATCTACCATCAATGGTTGAAGTTACAACCAAAAAAAAAAAAGAGTAGTATCAGAACCTTAGTGTACAGTGCATCCTAATATTGTAAATAGCTGATGTACAGAACAAGAGGACTATTAAAGTAGCATGTCATTGTATGACACTTGTGGCAGCTGATTTTAATCTCGTTTCCCATTCACTCACTCAGGCTAAGTGTTGGTATGTGAGATTGCCTATATTGTGTTCTTCTTTTGTGCACTCTATGGAAAGTCAAATATAAAAATTATTATAATATTGAATGGTTACTTGACAACATTTAATTTGTTTCTATTTATACTTGTTTACTCCTGTTCACTATATGAAGGACACAAATAATATCAGTGTTAAAGTTCTGTGCGCATAATGAGGTGTGAAATCACACAAATAAAATGGTTAACAAAATAGAAATAAAATGGTTAACAAAATAGGAATAAAATGGTTAACAAAATAGAAATAAAATGGTTAACAAATTAGAAATAAAATGGTTAACAAAATAGAAATAAAATGGTTAACAAAATAGTGGACACTGAGACTTGCAGCGTATGACCTCTAGCCCTCAGTTGACCTGAGCACTTCCTTCTGTAGAGGTCAGAGTTGGCACTAAATAATGATCATATCTATTACTTCATTAAAATGTATTTAGGTTTTGTTCACTATTTTTGCCTCCAATTATCTTTGGTCTTGTTTTCCCCTAAAACGTAAGTAAACTGTGCTACATTATGAGAATTTGTTAAAAAAAAAAAAGGAATTCATGGAAAGTGTGAACCCATTTGATAAAAAGTTCACCTTTGTTGTTGAATCAGAAAATAGATATATTGCATTTACTAGAAATAATATGACTTTGGAATTATATTTTGCACATTTTGGTGCTTAAAACAAGTTTGGCTAATTTCAGAATTAGAATGTATGATAATTCGAAGTCCATTTATTGTGCATGATTAAAGCAGAGCACCATACAACACAAAATTAAAGATAATAATTAATATGCATAAATATTAGCTACTTTACTAATTGCAGGTTTTCTGTCACAACTTGTCAGTAGAAAATTGTTTGTGTGTCATGATACATCAGTTGCCGATTGACTAGCTGCCATGGTGTGAACATTGGGAATGGGCCAGATATTGCAGTATACATCATCAAGTCTAGCTAGTTACTGTATATTACACCGGTGGATAATATGGTAACCATCAGGAAACACGTCTTTAAAATTAGTTGTCATGATATATCAGTTGAAATATGCTAACTTCTATGACAGCCAATGAAAAATAGCTTGTTATAATATGCTAGTTGAATATTTGATAGATGACATGATATACAAGGTGAAATAAGCTAGTTGTCTTACTAAACTTGGTAATCATTTAATAGGTGTCATGTAATGGTATATAATTATCTAGCCATCATGATATTAAAGTTTAAATTTAGCTATCATAATGGTAGTTTTGGCACAGTTTCACTCCATAACAACTTTATAAGCAATGACTTAAAAGTGAAGTCTGTAATGTTCTATTTTGATGACACAGCCAGCATGATTCAGGTGCTAGAACACTCATTTGTTTAAAGTTTAGTTACGTGTGTATGTGGTAGTAAGAGTGAAACTCTGGTCAAGTGTTGGATTCTATCAATAGAAACACGAGTTGAGATTGCAAGGACTGAACAAAATAAACTCAATTTACCTCCCAATCCTCACTTAGTGTGTCTTAGAAACCGCAAATTATGCTTATTTGAAAGCAATACGTAAAATTGAATGCAAAAATTAAAATTAGTATTATTATTCGACCACTCTGGAGGATGTTGTAGTGGGTTATGTGAGGATTGATACGATGGGATGTTAGTTAAGGGTTTGCTTGTGTCAAGCACAAAAATTTAAATATTGATTCCACATTCTTTTGGCAGAATCATTACAAATTGTGCTAATGTAAGGTTTATGAATTGGTGATTAATGCCAGCTTTTAATATTTTGTTGATACTGTATTTATTATACAACATTAAACTAAATTAAGGTACAGTATTTGGATGTTAAAAAAAAATATTATATATATATATATATATATATATATATATATATAATTTATATTTATTTATATTTATTTTCCAATTATTAGTTTGCTAAATTGTGGTTTTAATGCTGCCAAGGTAAATTACATTGTTTTTGTTATATTTTCTTAAGGACACTCAAAACAGTGTTTTCATTGACTAGACTGATATGACATTTCTTTGTATTAAAATAATGTCATTTTCACCCTGAATCATACTCAAAGAAATTCTGATTATCTAACACCAGAATAATACGAAGTTGATAAGGTTGGTATTTTTGTATCCTGTTTATTAATATCAGGTGTTCAACTGGTAGTGTTGCAGGTAGTCAAGAAGTAGCAGTACTGTACTAAACACGGATGGGTCTAGTGCTGTATGAATGCGAGGAAGCTGAGGTGCACCAGACCACAGCACTGGTAGCAAGTGCCACTCATATTGGCATAATAAAAACATCAATATTGTATTAATTTTGAGAAAGCTCCTGGTGTGTATGTTATGTTACGGGCTGCTGTAATCCAGGGAAATATTACTTTCATAAATTACCAGTACAGTGTTAAACACACACACACACACACACACACAAAGACAAAGACAAACTCTTCAGCACGGGTGGGACACGAACAAGGGGACACAGGTGGAAACTTAGTACCCAGATGAGCCACAGAGACGTTAGAAAGAATTTTTTCAGTGTCAGAGTAGTTAATAAATGGAATGCATTAGGAAGTGATGTGGTGGAGGCTGACTCCATACACAGTTTCAAATATAGATATGATAGAGCCCAGTAGGCTCAGGAATCTGTACACCAGTTGATTGACAGTTGAGAGGCGGGACCAAAGAGCCAAAGCTCAACCCCCGCAAGCACAATTAGGTGAGTACAATTAGGTGAGTACACACACACACACTGAATATTATATTAAGAACATACTGACTTATGTTAGATTATGTTATGATACGTTAGGTTAGGTTAGATCAAAATTCTGTTATAACTCCCATTAAAAAAAAATCAAATCATATATAATGTAATGGAAACCTTTGTCATTCTATAAGAAAAACTGTGAAAAATATAATATCTCGGAAAAATTTGGCTTGTTAGGTAATTTGGCCTATTAGATACAACACATATTACATACATTTTATATACATATATACATATATATATATATATATATATATATATATATATATATATATATATATATATATATATATAAGTATATTTTGGTAGCAGTCTTTCCTGTAGACATATATTATTAAATATGACCGAAAAATTTAGATTAATAATTCTAACACGAATTTTCTCAATCTTTCGTACATTATGCTTCACTGTTGGAGGTAAATCAAAAATCACTTCTCCAAAATTCATTTTTATTTTTAGTCTGACGCGACACGGGCGCGTTTCGTAAAACTTATTACATTTTCAAAGACTTCACAAATACACAACTGATTAGAACTTGCGTTTCCCTGATTTTATATCTACATTTGAGTGAGGTGGGAAGGGTGATGTGGCATTACATTTGAGTAAGGTGGGAAGGATGATGTGGCATTAGAGGATATTAATAGGGTATTAAAAGTATCAACACAAGACAGAACACGAAACAATGGATATTGAATAGAAGTGTTTGTAGAAAGCCTATTGGTCCATATTTCTTGATGCTTCTATATTGGAGCGGAGTCTTGAGGTGGGTAGAATATAGTTGTGGACTATAAACACAACTATATTCTACCCACCTCAAGACTCCGCTCCAATATAGAAGCATCAAGAAATATGGACCAATAGGCTTTCTACAAACACTTCTATTCAATATCCATTGTTTCGTGTTCTGTCTTGTGTTGATACTTTTAATACCCTATTAATATCCTCTAATGCCACATCATCCTTCCCACCTTACTCAAATGTAATGCCACATCACCCTTCCCACCTCACTCAAATGTAGATATAAAATCAGGGAAACGCAAGTTCTAATCAGTTGTGTATTTGTGAAGTCTTTGAAAATGTAATAAGTTTTACGAAACGCGCCCGTGTCGCGTCAGACTAGAAATAAAAATGAATTTTGGAGAAGTGATTTTTTATTTACCTCCAACAGTGAAGCATAATGTACGAAAGATTGAGAAAATTCGTGTTAGAATTATTAATCTTACTTTTTCGGTCATATTTAATAAAATATATATATATATATATATATATATATATATATATATATATATATATATATATATATATATATATATATATATATATATATATATATATATATATAAATAAAATATAAATAAATAAAAGATATGATCAAAATGCTACTAGAATGAATACTTTCAGAGCAGTATTGTGCAGACACCAATACTAGTAGTTTCAAAAATGATAAATATTATGGGAGCACCCATGTTGTCTTGTGACTCATAACCCACCAGGGATAACATCTTTTCCAGTGCTGTATAGACAGCTGCTGTTGCTGTCTATTACTCCGCACTGGGAAGAAACCATGCAATACCTCCGAGGGGCTGAGACATGAGACTTCTTGTGTGTAGTTATATAATGGTAATACATTTTCCTTTTGCAGACTTCAGTGTTGGCACATTTATCAGTCTGGGAATGCATTGCAGCACCTTCAGTATTAAAACAGGTTTCTCTGTCTTACTCACATTTTTAACATCGGTCCGTTAATAATAAAAACTTTAGTTTTGTGACATATTCAAGTATTTTTGTGATGTAGATGCACAGATTATTAGTAAAATTAACTATTACATTTCCCTAGTGAGTCAGATGTTTGTATATAGAGTAAATAAATGTTGTATATTTTTAGTTGGTTGAAAGTTGTCAAAGGTATTTGTGTAGACTACATAAATACGGTACAGTAATTGTACACATTAGTTTACAAAAATTATTTTACCAAAATAAAGCTGTAATCACATTGCAAGAAATTGCTAATTGTATATTGCAATAGATGTAGTAAAGTCGTTACAATTAACATTTGTACGGTGTTATACTAGTCTGTAATGGGAACTACAGTCAGGAAAGTGGTCAGCAGAATCTCTTGCAGTCCACTGAGTAGTTAATGTGTAGTGCTACCAAAATTCTCACACCTTTTGACAGCCCCCCCCCCCCCTATTTTCCTTGTATTTTTTCTCTTAAAAGCTACTTGGCAAAAGAATGTTTCCGACCACTAACGAGATACTGTAGCTGTACAAGAAAAGCCACCAGAATTCAGGTATGTTGTTTACAGTACTAGGCAGTGCTGTATTATGAATGGACTCATTAAATTGAGTTTATCCTCAGAATTTGATCCTCCATTGTGTAATGAATCTCATGTCAGGATATAGTTGCATTAATGCTATATTTATAACATGTCATATATATACACCTCTCACACTGACACTCATACTCATTGAAGTTAAAAACTGATCATCTCTTTTTAGTCTTTTACGTGGAATAAATCATTACTATAAATTGTCTTTAATGGTCCTTTTATGTATGAACTTAGGATTAGTTTCCCTGTATGAAATGGCAGATGGCAAAATATATTATCTTCTTTTGTGTATTGACAGTGTTATGTATCCTTGTAGGGGTACCCTGTTGTTTTTCTCTTGTCTTGAGTACATATCTGTGTATTAACTTAAAATGTTCAACGCATACATTTGATACAGAGGAGGATTCTGTAGAAATTGTGTAATGCAGCTACTGGTTGGCAGTTTTAAGAACCCATTTAAACCTTCACTGGGGTGTTGGGCCAAGTATGACCTTGAGTATAACCCATAATGTCATAATGAAACATAATGATTAACATATCAACTCATTTTGAGAAATGTTCCCTTTAGTTTCAGTTTGAATGTTATCCAGTAATTGAGCTTGTTTTCTGCATTTTGTTTTTGAAATGGTCAAGTGTGAAGGATTATTATTTTGGGTCTTATAACCCCCCCCCCCCCCTTTCTAGGTGCTGACGGGATTTTGAGCCATTTTATCACATCATTGGGTTAGATTATCTTGAGGTTATCTTGATGATTTCAGGGCTTAGTGTCCCCGTGGCTCAGTCCTCAACCAGGCCTCCTTTTTTTATTACACACCCCCAGGAAGCAGCCCGTAGCAGCTGTCTAACTCCCAGGTACTGTACCTATTTACTGCTAGGTAACAGGAGCATCAGGGTGAAAGAAACTCTGCCCTTTTGTTTCCGCCTCCACCGGGGATTGAACCTGGAACCTCAGGACTACGAACCCGAAGTTCTGTCCACTCAAGCTGCCAGGCCCTGTCTCGGTCAGGACAGGGTAATCGGATATCTCGAACAATATTGAAAATATAAATGGCAACTGCACCAAATTTTCTACAACTTTGCTTTAATGCTATGGGATACTCCCAGGGCCCTAAGTTGCAATTGTTGTCATAGATTTTAACAAAACATTAATCAGTGTGCAAATTTTTTATTTTTATTCTATAGATGTTATAGAAAATTATATGGTAGGATTTGGAAAAATAGTACAAAAAGTCTCCTTGTCAAAATAATAGAGAATGCAAACATGCAAATTCTCCTTCCATACTCACAAAGTCATGGTCAGGGTTCAAGAATGCCATTATAACCCACATGCAACAGAAAGCATTTTTGTATGTATGCGTTTATATATTTCACACACACTAACTCTTTGACTGCACTAAGAAAAATACTTAAAATGGGATGATTCAACACTTCAGTATGCTTAGAAAAAATTCCAAATGATGTAATATTTGACCAGGTCTGCTGACTATTAAAAATGTAGTAGGCCCTATAGACCCAGTAGGTGCTGCCATTGATTGGTGGCAGAAGTAAATATCATCTCATGTGGTATCACCAAAAATTTGCTATTGCTCTTCCTTCAAACTATCAAAGAATAACAAGAATTCATGTTCAGTAATGCAATAGACATGGTAAAATTAGGAGACTGAGAAGATTTTCATAAACTGGGCTCACACAGCAAGGCTTATGTCAGATGTTACAGCAAACTTCACAGACATTGAAAAGAAAGTGCACAAATCAATGATACAGGCACACACTATAATATGGAAGAAAAGACTGGGAAGATGCAACATCACGTAAACCCTAAAACTGCGGACATAGCCCCACTAGGTGATTTTTGCTTTAACATCGTACATAATTAAGGTCTTTTATAGGGTGGTTAAGAAGCCAGTTTGCCAGTTTAAGGGTAAAAAAAAAAACCTAACCACGTTCAACACAGTTTTAAAGCAATAAGTTCATGTGCTTTACAATTATTTGATCATTACTATAAAATTAGATGCATTTGAAAAGGACTAAACTGCAAAATTCATCTACACTGATTTTACAAAAGCATTTAATAAAATGACCATGGAATATTTGCCCATAAAATGAAAACATTTTTCTACCTACTTTATTGTTAAGTATTCTAAGTAAATAGAATGCAAATAGTAGTAATAAATCCGATATAAACTATTCTGAATACAGTAAGAACCAAGAGCCCACACGGTATGGTCCTTGCACTGTTACTCTCTCGTCTTCAAGGAGGACATAGACAAGAAGAATTTTTCTAATACACAATTTCATTCCACTCCTTGCCGATGACACCAAAATAAATATGGAAATTGCTTCGCTGTAAGCCACAGAAAAATTTCAATACAATATCAACAGTGTTCCATGGGGCAACATAAAACAGTATGATATATTCCATGTTGAAAAATTCAAATTTAGTTGATACAGGAGAAAGATTTAAACCTTAAAAGGACTATAGGATACAAAACTCGGTCAGATTTACATACACAATGCAGCAACCTAGTAAAAGAATTTGAAATAATAATATCAAGATCTAACATTTAGTGCCCACAACAAAGCAAACATTGCATCAATCAGGAAATTAACTGGGTGGATAATGAAAAGGTAAAAAGCAAGGGATGCTACTATAGTGATGATACTTTTAAAAGCACTCAAATTAAATATGGCTCAATCTTTACGTCCTATTTCAAGGTAGGCGAGACCACGAAGGTAAGGGATATGCAAATACCATTTACTTTTCATACTGAAACAGTCAAATTTTTAAACTACTGGGACTACCATAAAGCACTCGAATTGTATTCCATGGAATAGAGACGATAATTATCTGGTAATGTGCTGTGAAAAATACTGGAAGGTCTAGTTCCAAACTGCAAAACAAAATTACAGTATACTTGAGTGAGAGAGATGGCAGGAAATGCAGAATAATCCCAGTGAAAAGTAGGGATGCCATTAGCTCAGAGAACACTGTGAATATCAGAGGTACATACCTTCAATCTCCTATTGTAAACTCAAACCTATTTTTTGGGTGAAAATATTGTCATAACAGTTTGGGATAAAATGCATCTCTCTCTTTCCCTCTCTACTCTAGAAGGGTGAACCTACACAATTTTTAATCACTATTTAGATGATAATATGAAGTCATATATTTTGATTGTGTACTGAACAGTAGGTTAAAATTTAAGTATAAAACAACTTGACTGTTTTATGATTTACATTCAAGACACACTTGCATTAAAATTTGAGGAAATTTAAAGTAGCTCCAGTGCTTGAGGAAATCTTTCCTCTTTTTATTATATATGAAATGTCCTATAAATGACTTGGTTGCAAATAATGAAACTTCATTATCATAAGTAAACTTAAATTTCAATCAATATACAGGTATTTTCCTTTGCATTCAGCACTCATTAATTTTTCTTTTGTGGATGATAATGATAGGTTGCATTTGTACTTTGTTAACTTTTCCCTTGCATATGAGTAGTAGTACTACTGTGCTAGAAAATTATAAAGATTTTAAATCATTACTTGATTTTTAGGCCAAAGCATCTGTGAAGCATTCTCAACCTTCAGTAAACAAAGTTGAAAAGTCAAGTGTAGGCATGGCACTTCATCTTTTTTTTTTCGAAAATTTGGTTATGGACCTGAAGGTTCTAATCATATCACTCTTGAACTGAGAACTACGCATATTGTAGATCCATGGGTTCCAGGCACTTCCGGCCAAAAATAACCACCAAGATATGTAATTAAACAGATTAAACCAGTAAAAATCATAATCAATGATGTTGAAAAATATATTAATACCCAGCGGTAAAACTGATAATGAGAAAAGAAGCATAATAAGTATCATTGTAACCATAATCCGCTTATTTTCTCTCTCTAATGTGCCCCAGACTCTCATATTTAAACACATCCACTCGGCTCTTATTCTTTTTTGTTCATGTATAAAGTTAATGATGGCTAAACTTGAAAAGATGAAAGTAGATACACATGTTAAACATAGAAATATCAAACGTAAATATAATGACCAATGGGTAATGTCAGACACTTTTTCTGATAATCCAACTGGAAGCTTAGTAATGGTTGACCACATAGCACGAAAATGTCCATTGCCATCATAAATAAATTGCAAAGTGTCAAGAAAGGACATAACCCATGTAAGGATAATGACAATCTTCACCCGGAAAACGGAGAAATAAGCATTGTACTGGAGACTTCGGCTGGTTATAATAAACCTCTCCATGCTTAGCAGCAAGATAGAAATCAGAGAGACTATTGAACAACAGCTCAATACAAAAGACTGAAATAATCTATATCCACCATCCACAACCTGTAGAACGTAATGGTTAATGTCTGGTAATTCAGAATAATTATAATAAGAATGCTCTTCCCAGGAATATTCTGTTGAGGTAATATCTCCTGTGATTAAGGATATTTGGTAAGCGACAGAGGGAATCGCGACAAAGATGCAAATAAAAAGATCGGCAAGAGCTAATGATGTACGAACCATGCTGGACTCCTCCCATCTGTGTCTACCACAAAACATCACTACCACTACTATCATATTTCCTAGGACCCCACTTATGCCAATACATAGAGCTGCTGAGATGAGTAGAAATTCACATACATGGCAAGACTGTGGCAAGAAATCCCAGAAACTATTCAGCCCATGTTCTTCTGGTTTACCCACCCAAAGTATTGTGTACATTGAATAGCAACATGGAAAGTAAATGTTTGCATCTACATATATAGTTTCATTGTAATGTTTCCAGTTTGAGAAAGAATCAAATAAATAATCACAATTTTTCCCTCTTTCTGGAAGTCCCAGATTTAATTTAATGAGCCGAAAGGGTATTCCGTTCACTTTTGAATCAACAACTCGAAATGTTCCATCGCAAATATGGTTAAAGCAGAATTCATCATTTTCTATTAACGAATCTACCAAAAGAGGTATGAAAAACTTGTCCATGACTGAAGGCTGCTGACATACAGAAAATTGAAAGAAAATTACACCTTCATTTAGGCACAAAGTCATAAGCTTTTTTTTCTCACAATGATTGAACCTTTGAAAAAAAGGTAAACACATTGCAATGAAGTCCTCATCAATAAAACATTTCAGTCCTGTATAATTTCCAATGGTTTTCAAAGTATATAATGGGTACCGTTTATAAATACTTGCATAAATATAATTACACAAAGTTAATGTTGAATCTACTTTCATATACTGAGTTTCTTGACCCACACATACTTCCTCAGAATGAGTCAGAAACTCTGAAGAAAATTTTGTAGGAGGATGATCACATAGATTCATAAAGCCTGAAGGTGAAAGCAAAAGCTCATTTTCAGTGTTCTTATCTTCATAGGAGTCCTTTAGATCAGAGCCATATTGGTCAGGAAAGTTTTCAGTATAATCTTTCTCTTTGTATTGATGATTATTATCAGTGAAGTTAACATGAGCTAAACGCGTTGAGGTTGCAGTATTGCTCGGATTTTCTTTCACCGAAGACAAAGTTTCATTATTAAGGATATTTGTTTTGTAGCTGTTAGTTGTGTTTTCTGAATTTTTAGAATTCATTTGCTGCTGATTTTGAATGTAAGTTATTTCTTGCAATAAAAGATTCTGGTTACTTTGGTTGGCTGGAACCACCAGCAGAACAAGCAGCAGTGAAATAGATGTTGCAGTTAAGTGTAGTACCAGAAGAGCCATCATTGTTTGCTGCAAAGCAAGAGAGTGAAAGACATCTGAATTAGATACTGTATACGGTCTACTAAACATTATAAAACTTTTTTTAGAGCATAGTTTACATAAGAGATTATGTAAGCTATGTACAGTATAATTATTTATGTATATACTGCATAAATAAATGGAAAAGCACACTTGTACAGTGCCCTGCACTGCACACATTATCTCTGGCAATTCTTACAAATAAAAATTGTTGTTACTCATTGGTTATATATAGATCTATAGTGGGTGTACATAATTAATCTAATCTTAGGCTAATAATATCAAAAGTGGATTTTTACAATTAATTTTGTCGATACTAAAGATACTACTGTATGTATATTATTTAGGTTTATTATATGTAAATAAACTTCAGACATCATTCTAATTTTTAAACTACTCGTAAGTATTTAAGAGTAATTATAAATTAGCAAAAGTAACAAGGTGATTTGGTTATTTAGAATGAAAACTATGAGTAAATATGTTATGTAGATTGTTTGACATTTCACTCACATTAACCACAAACATAAATTAGATGGACCACTTCATTATTTGTCTTAATTAAAATGGTTAAAGTTAGTATTATACCTGTACAGTACTTGTTGTATTTAAGTAGTTTCACAATTCACAAGCCTTTATTTGCATGATGCTTCTAATTTGGTTGAATCGGAATCTGGGAACATCAAAGAGAAGCTTATTTCTAGTGTGGTCTCTGTGAGTTATATATTAGCCCTATAAGAAACATTTGAGGCCAGGATTGGCATTACAGTTTAGAGTTTTAAAGACAGAGTACACAAGATAATGTGTGTTGAACTTTTATATCTAATATATATAAGGGGTTGAACAAATTACTGCAAGGTAATTATTTTATACCTGTGTACAGTACTGTAATTACCGAAGTGTAGTTACAGGATGAGAGCTATGCTCTTGGTGTCCCATCTTCCCAGTACTTTTTGTCATATAACGCTTTGAAACTACTGATGGTTTTGGCCTCTACCACCTTCTCACTTAACTTGTTCCAAGAGTCTACCACTGTTTGCAAAAGAAAACATTCAAATATTTTTTCAGCACCTTTGTTTCCTTAGCTTGAATCTATGCCCTCTTGTTCTTGATTTTGCTGGTTTCAGGAATTCCTCTTTGTCAATTTGGTCGATTCCTGTTAGTATTTTGTAAGTGGTGATCATATCACTTTTTTTTTCTTCTATCTTCTAGTTTGTCATGTTTAACACCTCTAGTCTCTCCTCGTATCTCGTTGTTTTTCAGTCCTGGAAGCCATTTTGTAGAATGCCTTTGCACCTTTGCCAGTTTATTTATGTGCTTCTTGAGATATGGGCACCATGCAACTGCTGCATATTCCAATATTGGTCTCACAAACATCATGAACGGTTGGTTTCACCATCCATGTAATTAATTTAAAAGCAAGTCTGAAGTTGGATTGTAATGTTCTTTATGTGTTCCTCTGGTGACGGCTTACTATACAAAGGTGTCTGGGGCTGGAGCTCATTATGGTTCTCATTGTTGATTATATCCAGTAGGTTTGGGTAATAATGATATATGGTTAAGTTATTAAGAAGTTATCTCAAAATGGTAGGGGGTAGCACACACACACAAGAAGAAAAATAGCACCTTAAATGTATAATGAAACAACTAACAGGAGTATTTGAAATAAAATAGATGAGCTATATGACCGTGTGTGAACAGAAACCATTTACGGTATATTATTGAAATCATAGAGATATGGATAAAAATATAAAATATAGAACTTTGGAGAATATAGAATTAAGGGATAAAAGTTGTTTCACTGTGATAAACAAAATAGCTGTGAAATTTTTTATAATAACAAATACACAATACTATGCTGGAACCTTAGTCTATATGAGGAGTTACAGAGTGTAGGTCAAGAATGGGACCTATGATTCATAGAGTTTACAGTTGGAGTGCTTAATGTTGGCAGACTTATTACTTGGCTACCTATCATACTACGTGGTTAACTTCTGGTGGTTTTTGGTTTCAATGTCTCTACAGCCCAGTCTCTGGCCAGGCCTTCTGATTGGTGACCTGGTCAACCACCTGTTAGATGCAGCTGCCCGGAGTCTAAAGTTACAATTCACAGCCCGGTTGATCAGATACCTTTGGAAGTGTTTTTCAAGATCTCCCTTGAACACAGTGAGAGGTCAACCAGTTATGTCCCATATATTTAGAGGGAAAGTTGAACAATCTTGGGCCCTTGATGTTAAAAGAATTGTCTTGTAGCATATCTATTGCACCTCTGCTCTCCCTTCCATACCTCCTTGTTTCATGTGATGTTATTTCTGCTTGCATATTTGAAGCCAGTACCTCTTAATACATGAATTTAAGAATTTTAAGCAGTCCCAATAATTTAGATGATTTAGAGTGGATTTGTGCAATAGGAGACCTTTGCATGTTCTCCAGTGATTTCTTCAGCTTTGAATGGAGCTGTTAGTGTGTAACAACATTGCTCTGGTATCTGTTCTTTGAAAGGTTTTCATTATCCAACCAGACATTTTTCTTGGAGTTGTGACAGCTACTAAATTGTATTCTTTAAAAGTAAGGTCTTCCAATATGATTAATCCTAAATTTTTATCTTCATTAAGCATTTTGTTAGTTTTTTGTGGCTAATTTGAGAGACCTGATTTACATCAGGTTGGAGGTTTATGATGTCCACTATATTGTCTACTCATGAAAATCCTAGTGTCATCTGCAAAATATATTGTAGCAATTATATTGTGTACAGTTAATACCTCTTCCCAAACCTGCTAGAGGATAGTCAGGTGAGGTGTACGACTGATAATATAAGCAGTTGATAGCAAATCAATATCCAGTTACAGCCCCGCTCCTGTGCCAGGCAAGTCCACTACGGGATCACCATAGCCCGTGCTAATTGTAACTTTTGGTCCCGAATAGCTGAATCTTAAAGAACAACAATCATCAGTACAGACACTTGAGGGATACCACACACTTGATAGGACTTGAGGGATAGCACAAATAGGTGAGTACACATCTTCAACTTTCACCAACAACAATATAACACTCAATATGTCTAGTTCATACTCTCATAAGAAGCTTCAGCCTCGACACAGAGCAGAAAGCAAGACTCTGGTCACATCAAGCTTCCACGCTCAAGCCCCACACTCGAGCTCCTCGACTCTGCCCGCATTCAGAGTGCCACGCTCTACACACTGGCCCCACATCTGAGCTAGTTTCTATCCCTGGTGTCACTCGGCTCTCTGCTCTACTCTAGGTTTCGTCTTAACTGCTACGACACTTTATTACACTGCCAACACACCGACTGCTGTAACCAAGTCTATACTAAATAAATATAAGAAACCACTAAGGGTCTCATAGCGGAGTAAGGGGTCTGGTAGCCTAGTGGACAGCTCGTGGGACTCGTAATCCTGTAGCCCAGGTTCGATTCCCAGCACAGGCAGAGACAAATGGGCAGAGCTTCTTTCACCCTGATGCCCCTGTTACCTAGCAGTAAATAGGTACCTAGGAGTTAGACAGCTGTTACGGGCTGCTTCCTGTGTGTGTGTGTGTGTGTGTGTGTGTGAAAAAAATTAGTAACAGTTGATTGATTGACAGTTGAGAGGTGGGCTGAAAGAGCAGAGCTCAACCCCTGCAAGCACAACTAGGTGAATACTAAACTCTTTTGTGTCTAATCAACCAAATATGTACACATAAAAATGCGTTACAGTATAAACAGTTTTGTAAAATAGGGAGACAATAATAAGTAACATCTTGCATTAACATGTATATATAACGGATGTAATTTGCTCCTCCTTAGACAAGGTAGAAAGTGTTTTCCGACTCTCCAAATAAAATTTGAAATGCTCTTTATCCCAGTACCTTTCACAGTACTGTATTATGAACTTACCGCATAGTGAACACTTCTCAGACATTCGCATAACGCCCTGTGTGCCAGACAAGTCGCAGTGCAGTCTCTGTATAGTACACTTAAGTCATTCACTGATTTAGTTCACCTTGTCCACTTGGCTACAATTGTAAATTTTATATTTTTCCTTGCAGTTACCTTAAGCTCTAGAATTCATATGACCAACATGCGCACCCATTTAAATTACAGGAACGAGATGTATGTTCTTTTATTAACGTAAACCTACCAACTGCCTCGGCCTTTTGGTTCTAAGTTAAAGCCGAGATTTAGTAACTTCAATACCCATACCATATGTTATTTCCGAGATAGTCAAGCATAAAGTATACATGGCACCCATCCGAGTCGTAAATTTATTTATTTTATTATATATTTACAAGGAGGTACATTGGGTTATTGAGAGTACATAGCATTGATGTTTTTACATACTTGCAAAGCCACCAACACGCATAATGTTAAGTTTAAATGCTAGGAAAGTACTGTACTCTAATTCAAATTTCAGCCGGAAAATATTCCTTAGGAATAATGGACGGGCCATTGATAAGCTGTCGGTTTATTGTCCCCACCGAAGCGATTCTAAAAATGCTTGCGAGCATGCATCTGGCTCTCCATGTTGGTGACGGATGCCTGTTAAGGGGTTTTCCCCAGTGCTTGCAGCTGTTGATGATTAGATATGTCGCTGTGTTAAAGGTTAGGCTTCAATATGTCAATAATTATCAAAAGGCACCAAGCTGGGAAGACTATGTAGCAGCAAATATAGATTGCTTTAGTATACTGCAACTTTCCCATGCTGTGCAATTCTGATCGCTGTACTACAGATGACAAGGCTGGTGGGACCTTCCTTATAAGACAGATTGAAGTGCCTCAATTTGCACTATTGACGTTTTAAATTATATTGGCTTGAAAACAGGTGGATGCATGGGACAATTAAAGCTTCCAGCTAGATGTTATTGGGACAAACAATTTAACTGGTTGTAAGATTAGGTACGTATATATGTTGGATGACACCGAGGGCCTGTGCAGAAATTAAACAGGATCAGTAGTGTGAATCAATGAACCTTCTGCTCCCTCTAATCACTTATATTTGCTTAAATGCATCAATCAGTTGTTTGTTCAACTGCATCAATCAGTAATAATTTATTTTACACTGTGCATTCGAGTAGCATATTTGCAGTTCTAAGTATTATCATCCCCCCCCCTAAACTAAATATTAATATTAATAATCATGCTTACCGATGGAATTGTCTGCAATAGACAAATTTGTCACGACCTAATTGTGACGGTGTTGATGGTGGTGCAGATGTGGTCTGAGTGACCATTCTCCACACAAGGGCGTGAGGCTACTTCTCAGGAAATCCCATGACGGAAAGCTGCCGGCGGGGGAGAGTAAAAGATGACATTATTTAAATATATATATATTTTAAATATTAATTGAGCAAAATTGAAGCCAATTGAACACTTGATCATTAAATCCGTGTTTTTCCCTCGTGGCACGTATCTAATGTAGAAAACTGCTTTATTCGGCATATATTACCTTCAAATGCTGACGTTTCAACTTATGGTTCCCCCATATATAATTCGGAGATCGGAAGCCTATATATAGCTATTAGAATTATCGAGCTCTCCCTAGACCAGCTATATTGCCCTATAGATTGCACATAATATACTCCAGGATATAATCTACGACAGTTGACAATTACTGCTAGGTGAGCAGAGGCATCAGTTGAAAGGAAATTAACATTAACAAACGTTTGTGTCCTGTCAGGAGAATTGAATTCGTGACCTGACATACAGTGCTGAATATTTCGTCATTGTACCTATAATGTGTAGTGTTACCATTTTCGGTTGTGTAGGTATATACTGTAATGTGATTATATACGCCTATGTCTACATACAAATATTATGAGAACGCTTTAATTGTGGTCTTAAAACTTTCTTACACGGGAAAGATGCATCAAATCTTTTTTTTTATTTTGTTTTTATTTGCAATGTCCATCACGGGTAGTGACCGGGTACTAGTGATGATGATAATTACAGAGATGACAGTAGCGAAGATAGTTACAGTGATGAGGCTGTGTTGTGTAGACGCTTAGTGTTGCAGGTGTTTGTGTAGCAAAGATGGCGTAACCATCTATGCTATACACGACCATGATCATCATGGTCGTTAATACCGTCATCTCTGTAACTATCATCACTATATACCCGGGCTCTGCTGGGACCCCATATATGCAAGCTTCTCCCCCTCTTTCTCAATCTTCCCTACCCTTTACGACCTTCCCTCCCCTTCACCACCCTCCATACCTTCCATCTCCTGCACAACCATGCCTTTCTTTCTCCACCTTTCCTCTCCTTCACCATCTTTCCTACCCCTGCACCTTCTCCTATTCTTCATCACTTTCCCTAACTTTCACCTCCTTCCCTACTCTTAACCACCTTCCCTACCCTTTAACACCTTCCTAGCCGCCCCCTTCTTCCATATTCTTCACCATCTTCTCTACCCTTCGCCATCTTATCTACCCTTCACCACATCCCTGTAACCTTTTAAACCAAATACTGTCTTCATTTAATTATGTATAAAATAATAGGCTAGATAACGCAGTGAGGATGAAGCATGAATTTTAGCGAGATTCGAAATTAATATAATTTGATATTTAATGCAAAAGGACGGACAATATATGCTATAAAAGACTTGATATATACATTAAACTATGTACGGAAGGAAATTATGAAGGGAAAGTGGCTCATCACAGATGTAAATTACTCGGCTTAGTCTGTTGTGGTGGTCCAGTTCTTGAATCAATTGTTCTATAAAAGATTATTGATATATGCATTAACTGTATAATTATATAATTATCAAAAAAATATTGGAGCCAATTAAACTAGGCACCAAAATAGGAAGACTGTAGCACTGTTTTTAACTGTAAATAATTGATCCAATTTTAACTTGTTTAGGTAAATAAATTTGGGGTTCAGTTTTTCAGCCTATTTATATATGTTTGTTTATTTATTATTTATTTATTTATTTATATACAAGAAGGTACATTGGGTTTGAGAGAATACATTCCATAGTATTTACAATCTTGTAAAGCCACTAGTACGCGCAGCGTTTCGGGCAGGTCCTTAATCTAACAGATAATTTTAAGTAGGTAAATTCTAGCAGAATTAATAAAATGATAATAGATACATTGAAAGAAAAAATGAGATGAGAGAGATTAGTAAGTATAGTAAAGCACATTGGTATATTAAAGCTCTGATTGATTACATTGACAACTTGATTGGTAATTTAAACAAGATTACTAGACACCATACAGCAGATTGATAGCACATATAAGAAGACAGCAATGATCACAATGGTAAAGATGTTCAGATTGGGTAGCAATAGATACAGTGCAATTTTAAAGCAAAAGGTAAAAAACTTTGAAGATGAAATTAGGTACTTTTTAGTTTTGTTTTTGAATGACGCAAAAGTTTGACAGCTTTTCAATTCATTAGGGAGTGAGTTCCATAGACTGGGTCCCTTATTTGCATAGTGTTTATACACAGATTAAGTTTGACTCTGGGGATATCAAAGAGATATTTATTTCTGGTGTGGTGATAATGGGTCCAATTACATCTGTCCAGAGAGAGTTTCAGAGCAGGATTTGCGTTTAAGAACAGGGTTTTGTAAATGTAATTGACATATGTGCATCTGTAACCTTTAAAACAAAATGTCCACGGGATGGGTATGGGGTCCACTACCGCTCACGAATTGGTTATGGGGTCCACTACCGCCCACAGGATGAATATGGAGTCCACTACCGCCCGCGGGATGGGTATGGGGTCCACTACCGCCCACGGGATGAGTATGGAGTCCACTACCGCCCACGGGATAGGTATGGGGTCGACTACTGCCCATGGGATAGTTATGGGGTCGACTACCGCCCACGGGATAGTTATGGGGTCGACTACCGCCCACGGGATAGTTATGGGGTCGACTACCGCCCACGGGATAGGTGTGGGGTCCACTACCGCCCACGGGATAGGTATGGGGTCCACTACCGCCCACGGGATAGGTATGGGGTCCACTACCGCCCACGGGATAGTTAAAGGGTCGACTACCGCCCACGGGATAGGTATGGGATCGACTACCGCCCACGGGATAGTTATGGGGTCGACTACCGCCCACGGGATGGGTATGGGGTCCACTACCGCTCACGGGATAGGTATTGGGTCGACTACCGCCCACGGGATAGGAATGGGGTCGACTTCCGCCCACGGAATAGGTATGGGGTCCACTACCGCCCACGGGATAGTTAAAGGGTCGACTACCCCCCACGGGATAGGTATGGGGTCGACTACCGCCCACGGGATAGGTATGGGGTCCACTACCGCCCACGGGATAGTTAAAGGGTCGACTACCGCCCACGGGATAGGTATGGGGTCGACTACCGCCCACGGGATAGGTATGGGGTCCACTACCGCCCACGGGATAGGTATGGGGGTCCACTATCGCCCACGGGATAGGTATGGGGGTCCACTATCGCCCACGGGATAGGTATGGGGGTCCACTATCGCCCACGGGATAGGTATGGGGGTCCACTACCGCCCACGGGATAGGTATGGGGGTCCACTACCGCCCACGGGATAGGTATGGGGTCCACTACCGCCCACGGGATAGTTAAAGGGTCGACTACCGCCCACGGGATAGGTATGGGGTCGACTACCGCCCACGGGATAGGTATGGGGTCCACTACCGCCCACGGGATAGGTATGGGGGTCCACTATCGCCCACGGGATAGGTATGGGGGTCCACTATCGCCCACGGGATAGGTATGGGGGTCCACTATCGCCCACGGGATAGGTATGGGGGTCCACTATCGCCCACGGGATAGGTATGGGGGTCCACTACCGCCCACGGGATAGGTATGGGGGAGGGTGCATAATAAATGACCTAAACTAACGTATATCATCCTCGCGGAACAGTCGGCCGCAGACAGCTAGGCGGCAGGGAACCGGCACCACTACCTTCTTGCAGTATGGTATGTCATTGTTTGTATCGTGTATAATATATGCCCAGTTCTAGCGCCAGGTTGTATTTCCTGTTAATTAAGTTGTTTATCAAATAATGATGAAATGCAGTGTGTTAATTGGACACATAACAGTGTAACTTTGTAAAACATAGCAATAACAACGCTGACTGACGTCATGTGCTGCGCTGCCAGCCGCTTTACAACTTCTGTTTTCTACTGGAAATGGAACTACAATACCTTACTTATTTAACTTAGCCTATTTATTTTAAGCAACCTAACTTTAGCAAGTTTAATCTGTTTTATCTGAATCTCGTAATATAAGCTAGCGCAGAATACAATCACAATATAATCTGATATAGTGTCGCCTGCTATATAGGATCACCGATCCTTGAACATTGACTTCATAAATGGTAACACGGTGACGGAATCCTCAGAAAAAAAAGTGATATGCATCTTATCTTTGAGGATATCGCATCTTATCTGAAAATACTATTTTCTTAATCAGCGAAATGAAGTGGGGGTGCATTAAAGAGGGTCTCGGTAGTTTAGTAGCTACACTCTAAACTTGAGATCCCCGGGCGGGATAGAAATGGTTGGGCACGTTTCCTTTCACATAATGCCGCTGTTCACATAGCAGTAAATAAGTAACCGGGAGTTAAGTAACTATTGTGGGGTTGCATCCTGAGGAAGGTCAATAGTTCCACTTTAGGGGCGGGAAGGTGACCTCTGTACAAGCCTAAAAAAAAAAAAGCCTTCTTGTCCCCGAGAAAACAAATTAATTATTATCTGTTGTTGTCATTCATAATGATCATAATGTGATTACACTAATGTCGCTAATGCAATGTTATTTTTGTCATAATATTATTATTTGTTTTCTAATTGGTCTCCTGGCTTAATGTCATCCCTAAATATTTACTTAATATATTGTTTTCTACTTAAGGTCATATCATATGATTTAAATTTTAGATTAATTAAAAAAAAAAATTCTTCACTTTGCGACATCTTATATATATCCTGGAATGTGAACCCAACACTTCAACATGGTGTGATGGCGCAGGAGCGGGGCTGGGTATACGCAGAAGGGACCCTTCACTGCGACGGGCTCTCCCTGACGAGGCTACAGGCTTCCCTTCGTCAGGAGTATGGCCACTTGGCGTCCCCGGCCTATGTGTACTCAAAGGCCACCTTGCATGATAACGTCCGCCGGTACAAGAACGCCCTGGCTCCCATGGTATGTTCCTCTTATGTTGCTCCCATGGTATGTTCCTCTTATGTTGCTCCCATGGTATGTTCCTCTTATGTTGCTCTCATGGTATGTTCCTCTCATGGTATGTTCCTCTCATGGTATGTTCCTACCATGGTATGTTCCTCTCAAGGTATGTTCCTCTCAAGGTATGTTCCTCTCATGGTATGTTCCTCTCATGGTATGTTCCTCTCATGGTATGTTCCTCTCAAGGTATGTTCCTCTCAAGGTATGTTCCTCTCATGGTATGTTCCTCTCAAGGTATGTTCCTCTCAAGGTATGTTCCTCTCATGGTATGTTCCTACCATGGTATGTTCCTCTCATGGTATGTTCTCATGGTATGTTCCTCCCATGGTATGTTCCTCTCATGGTATGTTCCTCTCAAGGTATGTTCCTTCCATGGTATGTTCCTCTCATGGTATGTTCCTCTTATGGTATGTTCCTTTCATGGTATGTTCCTCTCATGGTATGTTCTTTCCATGGTATGTTCCTCTCTTCAGGTCCAACTCAATCATCAAATACATTTCCAGTCGTTTGTTTATGCAATTCTTTTGATATGTCTAAAAATGTTCATTATAAGATATTTATACCTTGAAACTGAAATGAAAATTAATATACTTAACGGAACTCATTCAATAATCACTTTTAAATAGTTATAATTATATGTATCGAGTTGATTTTTGACAGTTTTTGGTCATTCATTAGCAAAAAAATATTCCAGAGGGTTCAAAATTTCCAGGATTTTTTCTGGTGGACAAACTTTCTTCATATCATAGTAAACACCCCAAAATAAGAATTTGATAGAAACTTTAACTAGGCAATTATAATGATATTTGATTTTATTCTCCTTGACCATTTTGAAGTAGATTTTCGTGTAGATTTTCACTTTAGCGTTGGAACCTGCATTCAGTGATGCTTTAAAGAAAGGTTTGAAGCACCGGTTTTAAGTTGACTGGTCAGTACATTTTGGAATACAATGGAATCCATTTTACCTTGTTTAGAGACAAAATTTTCAGTGTCTTTTAATTTAAATGAAAAACTCGTTCCACGAAATAATACCACTAGGCTTCGTCAATATAGGTATGGTGGTTTTCGCACAATGCTCCATACTTTCTCCTAATGTAATGATTATCAGTGTGTCAAACATCTTCGACCAGAATTCATATACACGACTTAATTAAGATATATTTTAGAAAACTTAAACGATGTTGGCTAAAGACCCACACTTGAGTATTTGTTTTTATTGTATGTTATTATGTCTGTGAGTAGATATTGCCATTACTTACTTAAACGATTGTCCCATTGAAGCTTTTCTAATATTTTATTTTCCTTCGCTTCCGACCAAACTGGACTTATTGAAATAGAAATTTCATGGCCCATTTGTTGCCATTTTTCTGTAAATATATTTTTGATAGAAAATTTCGGATTGTATTTAACCTTTAAATTCTTCTAATCGTTATTGACGAGACAATCATGTTTCTTTCAGAACCAGGGAGAATTGTGACAATAACCTGAATTTTGTGCTTAACTTGATCTATGCTTCCACTAAATTTGAGCTATGCCTGCATTAACCTCCCCTTCTAGTTCACGGCACTCAAGGGGTGTTATACCCCTGCCTCCCTTCAGGGCACGCGAGGGGGGCGGGGTTGCTGTAACCCCCTCTCCCCTTTCATGGCATGCGAGAAGCTGTTGTTATACCCTCTCCCTCCCTTTTAGGGCATGTGAGGGGTGCCGTAACCTCTTCTCTCTCTCCTTCAGGGTACGCGTGGGGTATTGTCCTACTCTCTGAAGGCCAACAACAACCCCAGGGTGGTGGAGACTCTTCGGGAGGCAGGGGTCACCATGGCCACCGCCGTCAGCGGCAACGAGGTCCTCATGGCCCTGCGGGCTGGCTTCCCAGCTCACCAAGTCATCCTCAACGGTAACGGCAAACGAAGGTAGGTCATTTGAGCAGGAAAGCCGGGTTGGAGGGTAACAGCGATAATCTACCATCCAGGAATGTGAATTAGAATTTGATTGTGTAAACAGTACTTGCATAAAGCTAATTTTTAGGACTTAGTTTAGCTCGCACTCGTCCCCCATCTCGCCCTCATCCCACCTCGTCTTCATCCCATAACGTCCTCATTCCACATCGTCCTCATCTCGCCTCTCTCTAATCTCTATCCACCTCTCGTTCTTACTCTGCCTTTGTCATTCCCCACCACTACTCCTGCATCGCCAGGTGGGAGATAGAGCTGGCTGTGAGTCGTGGTGTTCTGCTTAACGTGGACTCTATGTTTGACGCCCGGCAGCTTGTGGCTGTGTCACAAGAAATGGGCGTGCGGGCGCGTGCCCTGGTGCGCCTCAACCCCGCCCTCGACGCCCACACTCATCCCTTCCTAGCAACAGCCCTCGCGGACTCCAAGTTTGGGGTAGAGGCACAGCAGGTTCCTGAGGTGAGGGAATTTATATCTCGTTTCTGCTCGTGCTGCTAATGGTAGTAGTGCTCCTGCTGCTGCTGATGCTGGTAGTGCTCCTGCTGCTAGTAGTGGTGCTGTTGCCGCTGGCGGTGGTGGTAAGAAAATTGCAGTTGCCACCCCTACTGATGACAATGCTGCTACTGCCAGTGGTATGGGGGCAGTTGCTGAAGGAGGATGGCAATATAAATAATCACATATGCAATATCAAGCTTTCTTCCCTTACATGACCTATTTATTTCACATCCGCTGCAGGTTCTACAGGTGTTGAGAGAGGGCGGGACAAGCAGGATGGTAGAGGTGGAGGGCGTGCATGTCCACGTAGGCTCGGCAATCACACGGGTTCAGGTCTACGCCCTGATGATGCAAGCGGCCGTCCGCACCCTCCATCAGGTAGCTGAACACACACACACACTCACACACACACACACACACACACTCACACTCTCTCTCTCTCTCTCTCTCTCTCTCTCTCTCTCTCTCTCTCTCTCTCTCTCTCTCTCTCTCTCTCTCTCTCTCTCTCTCTCTCTCTCTCTCTCTCTCTCTCTCTCTCTCTCTCTCTCTCTCTCTCTCTCTCTCTCTCTCTCTCTCTCTCTCTCTCTCTCTCTCTCTCTCTCTCTCTCTCTCTCTCTCTCTCTCTCTCTCTCTCTCTCTCTCTCTCTCTCTCTCTCTCTCTCTCTCTCTCTCTCTCTCTCTCTCTCTCTCTCTCTCTCTCTCTCTCTCTCTCTCTCTCTCTCTCTCTCTCTCTCTCTCTCTCTCTCTCTCTCTCTCTCTCTCTCTCTCTCTCTCTCTCTCTCTCTCTCTCTCTCTCTCTCTCTCTCTCTCTCTCTCTCTCTCTCTCTCTCTCTCTCTCTCTCTCTCTCTCTCTCTCTCTCTCTCTCTCTCTCTCTCTCTCTCTCTCTCTCTCTCTCTCTCTCTCTCTCTCTCTCTCTCTCTCTCTCTCTCTCTCTCTCTCTCTCTCTCTCTCTCTCTCTCTCTCTCTCTCTCTCTCTCTCTCTCTCTCTCTCTCTCTCTCTCTCTCTCTCTCTCTCTCTCTCTCTCTCTCTCTCTCTCTCTCTCTCTCTCTCTCTCTCTCTCTCTCTCTCTCTCTCTCTCTCTCTCTCTCTCTCTCTCTCTCTCTCTCTCTCTCTCTCTCTCTCTCTCTCTCTCTCTCTCTCTCTCTCTCTCTCTCTCTCTCTCTCTCTCTCTCTCTCTCTCTCTCTCTCTCTCTCTCTCTCTCTCTCTCTCTCTCTCTCTCTCTCTCTCTCTCTCTCTCTCTCTCTCTCTCTCTCTCTCTCTCTCTCTCTCTCTCTCTCTCTCTCTCTCTCTCTCTCTCTCTCTCTCTCTCTCTCTCTCTCTCTCTCTCTCTCTCTCTCTCTCTCTCTCTCTCTCTCTCTCTCTCTCTCTCTCTCTCTCTCTCTCTCTCTCTCTCTCTCTCTCTCTCTCTCTCTCTCTCTCTCTCTCTCTCTCTCTCTCTCTCTCTCTCTCTCTCTCTCTCTCTCACACACACACACACACACACACACACACACACACACACACACACACACACACACACTGTATATAACTTGTGTTTGTTTGGGTTCCCTCTAATATTATATTTAAAAATTTTCCTGACATGTATTGCTACTCTCCCTCCTCGATTAACGTATCATTGTGAAATAATTAGTGTTTCATAATTTTTGTATTCGACTAATTCATACTTCATTCCCTATTAAAATATATCCTATATATTAAATATCTACATTCATCTAGGTTTCTAATGCCTGGAATTAATTTTTTCATCCTTTTCTGTTCACGTTGAAGATAAATTATTTATGAAGATAAATTACATAATTTATAATAATAAATTATTATAAATTATGTAAATTAAATATCCTATTGGTAATGCTTCTAGAAAAATATGCCAATACTGTATCTTAGTTGTCTTATTCCGGGCATTTATTCTTTGATTTTTTTTGTTTTAATTACTGATCATGACCCAACGAGTAAGTATACTGTTTTATTTGTTTTCTTGAGCCCGTCCTCACAGGAAATTCATTACCGCGAGAAACCATAACCCTCTTCAAACCTCCTGGATAACTATCTAGATATTTGTGATGATCTGAAAGCATATTATTGTTACAGTAAGTTTACATGTAAACTGGCAAATAAACCTTTGTCGTAAACAGAGATTTTCTTAAGTTATAACATTATCGTATAAACCAACGTAAATCGTTGGTTTGAAATATAAAGTGTATGCTGAAAACATTTTCTTTGAACAATTTGATTTTATGTAAACAGAATTCTCAGGCACACTGGAATAGTTTTCGAATTCCATGTTTCAGATTATCGTTAATAATACACCGTATTAGCTTAACGAAACGTAATGAAACCTAACCTAACCTAACCTAACCTTAATGTCAAGTAACCTTAACCTAATCTAACCATGGTTTGAGAGTAGATAATAGCACATTCTCAATCCATTCCCAGTTATATATAGGCTTTTCAACTGCGGTGGGGGAAGGGGGGGGGGTCAGCCACAACCAACAAACATATATTTTTGTCCTGGACAAAGCTCAAGACTTAAGAAAAATCCCATTTTATATACTCCCTGTCGAGGCTTTGATCTTTGGTTTCAAGCCCTGGGTAAATATGATTCTTTCAGATCTGTGAGAGTGGCTGGACAGAAGCGGCCGTGATCAACCTGGGAGGGGGACTGAACGTTTCCCACGACCCACCCAACCCAGGCGACCAGGACAACAGGACGTTCTATAACTCGTCCTCAGAACCTCAGTGTCCTCCATCGCCTCCTGGTTCCGAACCCAAGCCCACGACGAAATCCGAATCCACAGAAAACAAGTCAAATTTGCAAGAAACTACTCCGATTTCGAAGGAAGAAACTACGCCACAACCAGAGGAGCTGGTAGAAGCAGTGCTACCATACCTTCCTGACGGAGTAACCCTAGTGCTGGAACCTGGTCGCTCGCTCGTCGCCACTGCTGGTACCGTTACTATATATAAACCATTGACAAAATTACTTTATTATTAGTTCCGTTACTTCTGTGTAATTCTAGTATTATTCATAGTAGTAGTAGTAGTAATAGTAGAGGACAAAAATGTGCAGCAGCAGCATTAATAATTATAATAGTAGTAGTAATAACTATGTAGGTAAAAGTAGTAGAATATAGGAGTAATATTTACATTATTTACTAGCAGCAATAGAAGGATTATGAGTAGTAATGTTATCAGCATTCGGTGTGACAGTAATATCAGTGTTGAGAGTGGTAGTTATATCAGTGTTGAGAGTGGTGGTTATACCAGTGTTGAGAGTGATAGTTATACCAGTGTTGAGAGTGATAGTTATACCAGTGTTGAGAGTGATAGTTATATCAGTGTTGAGAGTGGTAGTTATACCAGTGTTGAGAGTGGAAGTTATACCAGTGTTGAGAGTGGAAGTTATACCAGTGTTGAAGGTGGTAGTTATATCAGTGTTGAAGGTGGTAGTTATATCAGTGTTGAGAGTGGTAGTTATACCAGTGTTGAGAGTGGAAGTTATACCAGTGTTGAAGGTGGTAGTTATATCAGTGTTGAAGGTGGTAGTTATATCAGTGTTGAGAGTGGTAGTTATACCAGTGTTGAGAGTGGAAGTTATACCAGTGTTGAAGGTGGTAGTTATATCAGTGTTGAAGGTGGTAGTTATATCAGTGTTGAGAGTGGTAGTTATATCAGTGTTGAGAGTGGTAGTTATACCAGTGTTGAGAGTGGAAGTTATACCAGTGTTGAAGGTGGTAGTTATATCAGTGTTGAAGGTGGTAGTTATATCAGTGTTGAGAGTGGAAGTTATACCAGTGTTCAAGGTGGTAGTTATACCAGTGTTGAGAGTGGCAGTTATACCAGTGTTGAGAGTGGTAGTTATACCAGTGTTGAGAGTGGTGGTTATATCAGTGTTGAGAGTGGTAGTTATACCAGTGTTGAGAGTGGTGGTTATATCAGTGTTGAGAGTGGTAGTTATATCAGTGTTGAGAGTGGTGGTTATATCAGTGTTGAGAGTGGTAGTTATATCAGTGTTGAGAGTGGTGGTTATATCAGTGTTGAGAGTGGTAGTTATACCAGTGTTGAGAGTGGTAGTTATACCAGTGTTGAGAGTGGAAGTTATACCAGTGTTGAGAGTGGTAGTTATATCAGTGTTGAGAGTGGTGGTTATATCAGTGTTGAGAGTGGTAGTTATACCAGTGTTGAGAGTGGTAGTTATATCAGTGTTGAGAGTGGTGGTTATATCAGTGTTGAGAGTGGTAGTTATACCAGTGTTGAGAGTGGAAGTTATACCAGTGTTGAAGGTGGTAGTTATATCAGTGTTGAAGGTGGTAGTTATATCAGTGTTGAGAGTGGAAGTTATACCAGTGTTCAAGGTGGTAGTTATATCAGTGTTGAGAGTGGAAGTTATACCAGTGTTGAGAGTGGTAGTTATATCAGTGTTGAGAGTGGTGGTTATATCAGTGTTGAGAGTGGTAGTTATACCAGTGTTGAGAGTGGTAGTTATATCAGTGTTGAGAGTGGTAGTTATACCAGTGTTGAGAGTGGTGGTTATATCAGTGTTGAAGGTGGTAGTTATACCAGTGTTGAGAGTGGCAGTTATACCAGTGTTGAGAGTGGTAGTTATATCAGTGTTGAAGGTGGTAGTTATACCAGTGTTGAGAGTGGCAGTTATACCAGTGTTGAGAGTGGTAGTTATACCAGTGTTGAGAGTGGTAGTTATATCAGTGTTGAGAGTGGTAGTTATATCAGTGTTGAGAGTGGTGGTTATATCAGTGTTGAAGGTGGTAGTTATACCAGTGTTGAGAGTGGTAGTTATATCAGTGTTGAAGGTGGTAGTTATATCAGTGTTGAGAGTGGAAGTTATACCAGTGTTGAAGGTGGTAGTTATACCAGTGTTGAGAGTGGTAGTTATACCAGTGTTGAGAGTGGAAGTTATACCAGTGTTGAAGGTGGTAGTTATACCAGTGTTGAGAGTGGCAGTTATACCAGTGTTGAGAGTGGAAGTTATACCAGTGTTGAGAGTGGTAGTTATACCAGTGTTGAGAGTGGTAGTTATACCAGTGTTGAGAGTGGAAGTTATACCAGTGTTGAAGGTGGTAGTTATACCAGTGTTGAGAGTGGTAGTTATACCAGTGTTGAGAGTGGTAGTTATATCAGTGTTGAGAGTGGCAGTTATACCAGTGTTGAGAGTGGAAGTTATACCAGTGTTGAGAGTGGAAGTTATACCAGTGTTGAGAGTGGCAGTTATATCAGTGTTGAGAGTGGAAGTTATACCAGTGTTGAGAGTGGAAGTTATACCAGTGTTGAGAGTGGTAGTTATACCAGTGTTGAGAGTGGCAGTTATACCAGTGTTGAGAGTGGTAGTTATACCAGTGTTGAGAGTGGCAGTTATACCAGTGTTGAGAGTGGAAGTTATACCAGTGTTCAAGGTGGTAGTTATACCAGTGTTGAGAGTGGAAGTTATACCAGTGTTCAAGGTGGTAGTTATACCAGTGTTGAGAGTGGCAGTTATATCAGTGTTGAGAGTGGAAGTTATACCAGTGTTGAGAGTGGTAGTTATATCAGTGTTGAGAGTGGTAGTTATACCAGTGTTGAGAGTGGTAGTTATACCAGTGTTGAGAGTGGTAGTTATATCAGTGTTGAGAGTGGTAGTTATACCAGTGTTGAGAGTGGTAGTTATACCAGTGTTGAGAGTGGTAGTTATACCAGTGTTGAGAGTGGTAGTTATACCAGTGTTGAGAGTGGTAGTTATACCAGTGTTGAGAGTGGAAGTTATACCAGTGTTCAAGGTGGTAGTTATACCAGTGTTGAGAGTGGCAGTTATATCAGTGTTGAGAGTGGAAGTTATACCAGTGTTGAGAGTGGTAGTTATACCAGTGTTGAGAGTGGTAGTTATATCAGTGTTGAGAGTGGTAGTTATACCAGTGTTGAGAGTGGTAGTTATACCAGTGTTGAGAGTGGTAGTTATATCAGTGTTGAGAGTGGAAGTTATACCAGTGTTGAGAGTGGTAGTTATATCAGTGTTGAGAGTGGTAGTTATACCAGTGTTGAGAGTGGTAGTTATACCAGTGTTGAGAGTGGTAGTTATATCAGTGTTGAGAGTGGTAGTTATACCAGTGTTGAGAGTGGTAGTTATACCAGTGTTGAGAGTGGTAGTTATACCAGTGTTGAGAGTGGTAGTTATATCAGTGTTCCTGACTTTAGTAATAATAGCATTAGAAGCAGTAATAATTATACTGTAGTAGTGAATCATCACCCTTTTAATTCATACTTCAAAAACCGTACATCATTATATGCATATGAATTCAATGAAATTATTTTTTGTAATAACTTTCATGGCAGTTCCCCCCATTTTCCTCCCCAAAACCGAGTCTTTAAAGAAGGTCACGACAAGCCGAGGGTGCCAATATCTTGCTTCAGGCCGGTTGGGGAATATACAAATGTCCCTTTTTTATTAACCTGTAAATAGTAGCCTACTATCCCTTGTGTTATATTAATACTCACACCCATATAATATTATCCCTCCCGTCCGTGTAATATTAACCCTCTCGCCCGTGTGATATTTATGAACGCCATGCAGGTGATGTGTTTGTTTACATTGATCGCGTTGTCTTGGTAACTGATGAGTGCATACTAAGCATACACACGGATATACTAAAATAACACATGGAGATACAGTACTGAGATAACACAGGGCATACTACGATAACACATGGGTATGTTATGATAACACACGAGCACACTAAGATAACATACGGATATACTAAAATAACAGACATAACACGTTACACTAAGATAACACAGGTGTACTAAGATAACACTTGTATACTGAGTGAAAGAGATAAATGCCAATGGGATACAATTGGCATTTGTTATACCGTTGTTGAGAGACACGGGTACCAAGATAACAAACGAGTATGCTCAGAGAACACACAGGTATTCTAAGATACATGGGTATACTTAGATAACACATGGGTATACTAAGATAAAAAACGGGTATATTTATGACACGCGTGTATGTTAATATAACATGTGTATATTATGAGATTATGTTAACAGTACCAAGATATTATTAACAATATATTATATTATTATGATTAACAATGATGGCAAAAGTTCTGCAGGTAATAATAATAATATCTTAATAATAGCAGGTATGTGGCAGGTGTAGCGATGACAGAGGGGCTGCAGGGGTGTTATATTGACAGCTGTGGTGATTACAGTGTGCTGCAGATGTGTAATAATGACAGGTGTGTGGCAGGTGTGGTAACCACAGAGGTGCTGGGGGTGAAGACCAACGGGGAGCGGGAGTTCCTGGTGGTGGACGCCGCCATGACAGAGGTCATCCGCCCCGCCCTCTACTCCGCCCACCACCCGCTCTGTTATGTCTCCCCTCCCGCCCACCAGGTGAGTTTCCCGCCCATCAGGTGAGTTTCCCGCCCACCAGGTGAGTTTCCCGCCCACAAGGTGAGTTTTCCCGCCCACCAGGTGAGTTCCCGCCCACCAGGTGAGTTTCCCGCCCACCAGGTGAGTTTCCCGCCCACCATGTGTTTCCCACCCACCAGGTGAGTTTCCCACCAACCAGGTGAGTTTCCCGCCCACCAGGTGAGTTTCCCGCCCACCAGGTGTTTCCCACCCACCAGGTGAGTTTCCGCACCCACCAGGTGAGTTTCCCACTCACCAGGTGAGTTTCCCACCCACCAGGTGAGTTTCCCACCCACCAGGTGAGTTTCCCCACCCACCTGGTTGATACCTGGTTGATGGGGTTCTGGGAGTTCTTCTACTCCCCAAGCCCGGCCCGAGGCCAGGCTCGACTTGTGAGAGTTTGGTCCACCAGGCTGTTGCTTGGAGCGGCCCGCAGGCCCACATACCCACCACAGCCCGGTTGGTCCGGCACTCCTTGGAGGAATAAATCTAGTTTCCTCTTGAAAATGTCCACGGTTGTTCCGGCAATATTTCTTATGCTTGCTGGGAGGACGTTGAACAACCGCGGACCTCTGATGTTTATACAGTGTTCTCTGATTGTGCCTATGGCACCTCTGCTCTTCATTGGTTCTATTCTACATTTTCTTCCATGTCGTTCACTCCAGTACGTTGTTATTTTACTGTGTAGATTTGGTACTTGGCCCTCCAGTATCTTCCAGGTGTATATTATTTGATATCTCTCTCGTCTTCTTTCTAGTGAGTACATTTGGAGGGCTTTGAGACGATCCCAATAATTTAGGTGCTTTATTGCGTCTATGCGTGCCGTATATGTTCTCTGTATTCCCTCTATTTCAGCAATATCTCCTGCTCTGAAGGGGGAAGTGAGTACTGAGCAGTACTCAAGACGGGACAACACAAGTGACTTGAAGAGTACAACCATTGTGATGGGATCCCTGGATTTGAAAGTTCTCGTAATCCATCCTATCATTTTTCTGGCTGTCGCAATATTTGCTTGGTTATGCTCCTTAAACGTTAGGTCGTCAGACATTATTATTCCCAAATCCTTTACATGCTGTTTTCCTACTATGGGTACATTTGATTGTGTTTTGTACTCTGTATTATGTTTAAGGTCCTCATTTTTACCGTACCTGAGTACCTGGAATTTATCACAGTTAAACATCATGTTAACAGTGATAACCAGGTGAGTTTCCCACCCACCATGTGTTTCCCACCCACCAGGTGAGCTTCCCACCCACCAGGTGAGTTTCCCCACCCACCACGTGAGTTTCCCGCCCACCATGTGTTTCCCACCCACCAGGTGAGTTTCCCCACCCACCAGGTGAGTTTCCCACCCACCAGGTGAGTTTCCCACCCACCAGGTGAGTTTCCCACCCACCAGGTGAGTTTCCCACCCACCAGGTGAGTTTCCCCACCCACCAGGTGAGTTTCCCCACCCACCAGGTGAGTTTCCCACCCACCAGGTGAGTTTCCCCACCCACCAGGTGAGTTTCCCACCCACCAGGTGAGTTTCCCCACCCACCAGGTGAGTTTCCCACCCACCAGGTGAGTTTCCCGCCCACCAGGTGAGTGGAAGACGATGTTTTTTATCTTAAGATTAAGTAGTTTTATCATATTTCCTACTTATATATATATATATATATATATATATATATATATATATATATATATATATATATATATATATATATATATATATATATATCAAAATTTGAATAATTATTTGTCTCCTGTATAATGACTGATACAGTATTTACAACAAAAGCAGTTCGCTTTTGTTGGCAAGTGTTTGGACCAACAAAAAAAAAGTGTTCCAGCTGACCAGAGGTAGGCCTACTTATAGTATTGTTGCTTATTCATTGTGTATTTTTATATAAATTTCTTCTTAGTCTCCCTGCGTCTCTAAAATTTTCCTCGCTAAAAATTGTCAACAACAAAATTGTTGACAATTTTGAAGAGAAAAACACCATGTGGGAATACAATTTTTTTCTTTTTACTGCAGGTGATGTTGCAGATTTTAGCTGGTGTTGTGAGCAAGCATAAGGCTTCCAAATAAGCCTTGTTATTCTCACAAATTCTGCCAACATGATTATTCTAGTTATTGTTTTATCTATTCATTTGCTTATACGAGGAAAATCACAGCATACACTACGCTGTAGTGTAGAGTCTTTGGTTGTGGATCTTAATAGTTGCTAAAGTGATTTAACAGTTTAAAATATATGTTCCAAAGTACGGTTATTAATTTGAAATCCTTTTGAATTGCGTCCAGAAAGTTTCTATCTCGTTCGCATGTTCATCCGGGTTAAATATAAATTTTCACGTGGACGGTCACGCGTGTTGGCAGCCCGTGGTGGAGGTGGACGTGGTGGGACCTGTGTGCGAGAGTGGAGACTTTCTGGCCCGGCGGTGCCTTCTGCAGCGTCCCCCAGACAGTGGCGCCACCCTCGTCGTGTGGGCGGCAGGGGCATACTGCTCCTCCATGTCTTCCAACTACAACCTCCGCCCACACGCCCTCGAAGTTATGGTTGACGGTCCCAGCAGCTACAAAATCATTCGTCGCCCTCAGGAGTTTGAAGACCTCGTCAGGGAGTGCTTGTGATTGGCGCAGAGCAGCGTTGATTGATCAAGCAACGCTAGTTTATAAAGTATTGCAATATAAATTGATGGTATATATAGCTTTTTAATTTTTGAACATATCCTGAGAAACTCGGGACACATTACTCGATGCTTTGCGTGGCTTGCGAACACTGTTATTGTGAATAACGATGTCCATCTGCACGAGGCATCGAATAAAGGTATCGAGCTACACTTGGCGTTCAGTAAGGTGCTCTTAGCTACACGTAGCGTTGAGTAAGGTGTCCTGAGCAAGGCGTTTTATTCTATATTGCCTATATTCGTGTGTGGTGCATGACGGGGAAATTAAATTGATGTAACTAGATGGGGTGCCCTGTATTGCTCGGGTCGATCCGTATACCAAGGTCACCCCCACACACCGTCCTCCCTGTCTCCACACACCGTCCTCCCTGTCTCCACACACCGTCCTTCCCTCCACACACCGTCCTCCCTGTCTCCACACACCTATGGAACTTATGGAATGGAATAGTCAAAGTCTATTGAATCGGGGCTGAACATTTCTCATCCACAGCATTCGCTATGGGGCCATGTGTTCCCTTCAGCGAAGAATGGGAGGTTGTTCTAAGTCGACCCTGACACTCCTGATAAAATCACTATCAATTCTTCAAAGTTTAATGAGGCTAGCTTCAAGCGTCTGACCTCCAACCTCGAACAGACAGACGGACAAACAGACAAAGACAGACAGACTGAAAGTATAGATATTAGTTTGCTCACCACAAATGTAAATGGCTTTGCTTAAAGATTATATAGGGTTAATAAGAAACTAAATTAAACCTCGTTGGGGTCACATTGATATTAGTGTGATAAACTGAACAGACTGCTGATGTATTTGTTAACGACCTCTGGAAACTAATTCATTTGTGCTGTAATTTGCTTAGAAAAACGAACGTTTGTGTGTATTTTCCACTACCGATCAGAGAATGGGTATGGGGTCCACTACCCACTGTGACATGATGAGTATGGGGTCCACTACTGCCCACAGGATGGGTATGGGGTCCACTACCGCCCACAGGATGGGTATGGGGTCCACTACTGCCCACAGGATGGGTATGGGGTCCACTACTGCCCACAGGATGGGTATGGGGTCCACTACTGCCCACAGGATGGGTATGGGGTCCACTACTGCCCACAGGATGGGTATGGGGTCCACTACTGCCCACAGGATGGGTATGGGGTCCACTACTGCCCACAGGATGGGTATGGGGTCCACTACTGCTCACAGGATGGGTATGGGGTCCACTACTGCCCACAGGATGGGTATGGGGTCCACTACTGCCCACAGGATGGGTATGGGGTCCTCTATTGCCCACAGGATGGGTATGGGGTCCACTACCGCCCACAGAATGGGTATGAGTACATAATAAATTAAACTAAATTGTGTGATGCAGCTTATTTTGAGTAAATATTTCGTATTGATTTTTAACAACAAGAGTTTGCGTTACGAAGTCTGTGATATCGATCCACACAGTGTGTAATTTATCGAAGCTCAATATTGAACATTGATCGGGCGGGCCAGAAATGGTTTATCGCGTTTCCTATCACCTAATGCACCTGTTCACCTACCAGTAAATATGTACCCGGGAGGAGGGCAATATTTGTGGCGTTGTATACTGGGGGGAGAGTCAGTAGTTCCACCTGGGGGGGGGGGATACAAGCCTAATTTACATATGTACACAGGCTTCCAGTCCCCTTATAAAACGAATTCTTTAATAATTATTGTAATAATTCGTTGTGTCGGGGGACAGGCAGCCAGAGTGTGTGTACACGTTAAGCTTATATCATGGGTCTCCCCTCCCTCCCCAGGGCTTGACAGCTGAGTGGACAGCCCTTCGGATTCCTAGTCCTGAGGTTCCGGGTTCGATCCCCGGAAGAGGCAGAAATAAATGGGCATAGTTTCTTTCACCCTGATGCCCTGTTCACTTAGCAATAAATAGGTACCTGCTTGTTAGATAGCTGTAACGGGCAGCTTCCTGGGGATGTGTAACTAAAATGAGGCCTGGTCGAGGACCGGGCCTCGGGGACGCTAAGTCCCGAAATCATCTCAAGATAACCTCCATCGAGTTTGAATTACTGACCCCCCTCCCCCCTCCCATGGAGGCAACCATGGGGGGGGGAGCAGCTGGCTAACTCAACCACAACCACAACCAGCTGGCTAACTCCTGGGTATCTATACTTGCTGTTAGGTGAACAGGAACATTAGGTGATGCGACCAACTATGTCTGTCTTGCCCGGGATTCGAACCCGGAATTCTCGATTGTGAGGAAAACCTACTGTACTACCGCGGATACGGGACTGCCCTTCCCCCCCCCCCCCCGTCAAATGCTGATGATGTAAAATTTAACTTTTTAACACGTGGTATATTAAATGTTAAACACGTGGGATGTTAAACACGTGGGACAAAATCTTATTGAAGCTACCAAAAGCAGCTGTACCTTAAAATTACCACTGTTTTAGGTTCTTATGAATTCATATTTAATGAATAAAATAATAATATTAATTATTATTATTATTATTAATTAATCTACCGTGTTAAAAAATGAGACGCTTTTGATGAATGTATTTGCATTTTACAGAGTTTGAAATCAACAATTTAATACAAATAAAACGAGCAATTAATAATTTTATGTGTTATAACCGGTCGTAATATTATTTCAGAATATTATTTCAGGGAAGTACAGATCCTAAGGAAGTATTTAATGAATCCCAAACAAATTTTATTTTAGTTTACAAGGCTTCATATGAAAATTCGGATGGGACCATATTAATATCAAAAGTTAATACACCTCTCTGAACATTTAGAATAAATACGACTAACTCCTGGGTACCTACTTACTGCCAGGTGAACAGGCGCATTAGGTGATTGGAAATTCGCCCAACTATTTATGTCCCGCCCGGGATTCGAACCCAGAATCCCAGATTGTGAGTCCAGAACGAACCCAACTGTACTACCGCTATCTTTTTCACCTATAGTATATTATATCGAGCAGCTGCTTGAAGTTAGAAGAACGATTTTTTTATTGTATTGTTGTTGAAAATTGCGTAAAAGTTTACAACAAAGTTAAAAGGACGGGCTGAGTAAGGAGGATTTAAAGCCCCTGGTAACACGTCAACACTTGCCATAAGGTCAGGGAGAACGCTGATGATCTGCGTTTTCTAATACAAGTTACACCTAAATTATTGTAAAATGTGGAATAATGGTTGAAAATGAATTTTTTACGTATATCTGCTTAGCCTATTCAAAATTTTAGTATGTTTATTTACTGTATATGCAGCTACTGAAACGAATATTATCATACACAAATCAATAATTTCATATTCCATTTTCTATGAGCGCGTCAGGTGCTGGTGGTAGTCTTGGTAGTTTAAGCGACGAAACATTCATTCTATTCAATATGGCTTCGAAAGGCACGTATTCTTGTGGGGATGCGTTTTCTAAAGAAGATTTATCCTTCTTGGCGAGATCTTTGAAAGACGAAAAGTTCCGTGCGCTCTTCGCTGAGTACGCGAAAGAGGTTTGTGAACCAGAAAATCAGAAACAGTTTGAAAGAGAGCTGCAACAACTGGAAAAAGAGCGGGGCGTGGAGGCTGTTTTCGTTCACCCGAGTCCCGGTTTTGCGTTGGCAGTGGGAAGCCAGAGTGGCGGCCCCGCTTTTGTGAATGTATGTAGCAGTGACGTGGTGCAGAGGCCCAGTTACGTGAATGTTGACGACGGTGTCAAGACGGGTCAGAACTGGTCGTTGCCACACGCTTTGCCCAAACCTCGACGGGAGTTGCTGAAGCAGAGAGTGCGAGTGTCGGGGTCGAGCAGCCATTCTGAGGGTGAGGTTGGCAGCCGAGCCGAGGCTGGGGTTGGCAGTGTGGCCGAGGTTGGCAGGCAAGTGGTGGTGTATGATGTCGTCTTCCATCCAGAGGCTCTGCTGCTCTCCTCCATGAACCACCTTGTGAAACACGCTCTCATACAAACTGCCGTGGACAGCTTAAGCAAAACTTTTCAGTTGAAGATAGATCAGCCACAGGAGGTTGACAGTGTGAAGTATGTGGGAAAGCCAATGCGATCTATGATAAAGCGAGTAGTAGATATAAAACTGTTTGAAGCAAGTGAGAAAATGAGCTTCCAAAACGATGAGAGGACTAGTGGTGATATGAGAAATAAGATGGAAAATACAACTGAGGATAAAAGTACAAATTCTGTGATGGAAGTAGCTGAGCCAATAAAACCACAGTACAAGATCAAGCATGTAAGCAAAGTTGATTTCCAAGACTTCTCTGTGCAGTTGATACCTCAGTGCGGTCGTGCATGGCGCCCTCAGACCCTGGAGGTCGAGGTTGACCTTCCTGGAGTGATGCGTGCCTCTCAGGTCGATGCCAATGTATGGCCGCAGTCACTTTTACTTTCCACCAAGTCAAAACCTCAGTACAAACTTGAACTGCCACTTCCTTATCCAGTTGATGAGGATTCAAGTACTGCAAAGTTTGATGTATCAACCCAAAAGTTAACCCTTACTCTTAGTGTTATACCATCAAGAAAAAGAGATCAGGTCTCTGTTCATGATTATTCTCCTTCAGACTCTGGTATTGATTGTGATCCTGATTACCGGACTAACAGTGATGGGGACAATTCCTCTGAAGTGTCAGTGTCATCACAAGAAGATAGGTTAAAGGAAGTTGAAGCAGCTGAAGAGGAAGACAATGTGTTTGAATCTGCACCAAGTGAAAGGAGAGCAACTCTCATCCCCAGTTATTCTGTTAAACAGTCAAAAGAAAGATTGTATATTATCCTCAACTGTGGTAATGTTCTGCCAAGCAGTGTTACTACAAAGCAAGTTGGTGATCAAACTGTTTATGTGGACCTATCCAGCATTGGCGGTGGACATACCCTGCTGCACTATGGGCTCAAAGTTGTGAGTTCTCCAAATATCATAGCCAAATCTGGAGTGACTTGCAAACTTGGAGATGGCGCTGTGGAAATAAATATAAAAAAGGCTGTGCTGGGTCGCTGGGAGTCATGCCAGATTGGAAATGAGGAGCATCTTGCCTCGGTGGTTCCAACACCTGTCAGTGCTTTGAATACTGATGCGAAGTCTAGTCAAAAATCAATCGAGTCCATTGAAGAACCTCTAAATAAGGTAAGTTGCATTTTGTTATGGAGTTAAGGATGGGTTCAAAAAATAACATACCTATATTTTACTTTTACTAATTACTAATTTACTAATTGCTTTTTAAAATTGTGGATAATGGTAGACATATACCTAGCATTAATTCTTAAATTCATAGTTCAAATGTTCCATGTGTGTGTAATTACCTAAGTAATTACACACACATGTAATTGTGTAGTTACCTAAGTAATTACCTAAGTGTAGTTACAGGATGAGAGCTACGCTCGTGGTATCCTGTCTACCCAGCACTAAAATTGTGTCATTGCTCTGGGGTTATAATTTTTGAAGATACATTTTGGACAGCAAGTGTTTTGTAATTGAAATAAATACACATTTTTAACCATTGATTTTGTATTTGTTAGCAGATTTCATGGGTTTAGTTAAGTCTGAAAATCATATTTGAAGCCTGTGAAGTGACTTGTATTCCATTGGCATTTATCTCTTTCACGACATATTGCATAAAGTATTAGCACGCATTCAAATTTGTTAGTAGTTTGCAATGTCATAATTGTGACATGATTTATTGTTGTCATTGTATTGGAGATACAACTTAATGCAGTAGATTGTAAGTGACAAACTTTCCCAGATTCTAAAGCATTGTTAGCATTAGTGCATTTATCCTTACATGGATCTATTGAGTCTAACCTGAGCAAACTTTGCTGGTGGTAAATAGTATTCCTGGTTTGGTGCCTTCTTTTGATAATTACTGTACTTAAGCAAATATTGCATTTTATTATTAGTCATTCGCAAAAGTTTCCATTAGTATAAGGTACTAACAAATCTTAGTCTCATGCATAACTTGGTACTTACTTTCAAATCATCCAGTCAGCATAGCCATCTTTGGCAATGCAAATGTTAATTCAAGGATGATTTAATGTGAAGCTATTTGTTTTAAACTACTTCACAACTCCCCCTCTGCCTCTGTCTTATAACTCTTCTCTGTAAATGCCACCTTAAACCCAATAGCTTCTATACACCTCTCAACCATTGTACCAGCTATCTTTCTCTGCCTCACAATACCTCTCAAAATTTGTAAATATTTTATCATAAATTTCTTCATTTGCCCTTCCCAGCTTTTTTGTAGAGTTTTCAGTAACTGAAAAAACTATAGTTCATGCATTCCCTGTCGGTGTTGTTTCCAAGGCAAGGTCAGTAACTTTCTCAAGTTCAAGTACAGATCCTTAACACCAATTGTTTCAATTTTAAGCAAACATTGTCTATTCCTTTTGTTGCAGACTCCTTAGAACTTTGCTATTGTTTCTCCCTTTTTTCTCTTCCTTTAACTTTATTGTCCAGTGGGAATTAAATTAGCCTTCTCTCCAAAACTAATGTGGTTAACTAGAATTGTTGTCATTTAGTGAGCTCTAACTAGTATAGTACTGTACATTGTTTATACTACAATCACAATCCTTGAAATTGCTATAGCTGTCAGGTTTTATGTATAGTTTGATGCATTTTGGCTTACTGCTTTCTATTAGATTTATTTTTAGTTTGTCATGAGGCAATATCAGTTTGTTTTCTGGAACTGAACGAATGTGTCAAATTAAGATGATCCAATTGTAAATGGGGTTTAATTCATTTATGGGGTTTATACAGGTACCTATTAATATTGAAAATGCGCGGTGGTACATGCAGCATGACTGTTAACGTATGCATGTTTAAGAGTGTGGTGTGTCTGGTTTTAATACTAGCTAAATGGATAATTTTCAGTGTATTGTATTGAGTGATGCGAGAAAGAGAGAGGAGGGGGAGAGAGAGAGGCGAGGCGAGGCCCGGATGCTTGGTGTGGGTGTTAAGTGCTACCCAACCCGTCAACGCTTCCTGTTGTGAAATATCATTGCCAGAGTGTTTGTACTCGTATGTTCATTACAGAATCAACGCTATGGGTGAATCTAAATATTACTACTCACTGTAATTTTGTGTAATTTATATTAACCCCTTTCTCACTGTAAATTTGTGTAATATATATTTAGCCCATATATGGTATAATGTTATGTTTGGAGCCACTTGTATTCAGTATTATACAATGATTGTGCTTAAAGTTTTTCTTGTTATTCCCGCATCTTAGGAGGTCGGTGATGTTTCGATTATATTTGTAACATTTGGTCGTAGCCTAGGGTAAACCTAAGGAATTAAGGAGAGGAGACCGTGGTGGTGTCTGGCAAGCTCAAGTCTTCCTCTGGGCTACAGGCGTGTCATTGTTTTATGTCTCATTTCTTGCGATGTTCTTATTTTACGTATATCTATGATTTTGAATTGTGTACGAATTGTTGAAGATTGTTAGAGTTTAAGACGGGGGAATGTTGGGAGGGGGGTTGGGTATTTTGTGTAGGTATACAATGTGGGATTGATGGGTTGGTGGTGTGAAGTTTTCGTCGGCATGACGGTGTGGTCTTATTCAAGGCCAGAGAAAAGGTGAAAGTGTGGCTTTAAATGTTGCATGTATTGAGGAAGCATGTCTTCCAGGAGTTAGAGGGGTGTTCGAGGGGTGTTCATCCAGAATTCAGGGCGTAGTCTCGCAAGGAACCACATGGCAACATACCCTATATATAAATATAACCATTAATGCTTCTATTTTAGAAGAATATCACAAACACCATGATTGTGGTCAAAGCTCCCTGGAATATATTCCTAATCCTATGCATTTTATACAAGGTCCTTTAGACTTTAATGCTGCAACCGCTAGTAATAATTAGTAAATAATTAGATTGCAGGCGTCATCACAGGTGCACACTTGTCTGAATACTCAGCCTTAACACGCCAACCCGTTCTCGCACTTGCTTATAGTCAATATCTTGCTTATGAATAAGTGCATATGTGACTACTAATTTATTGTGAATATTTGAGTTTACCTTGAAAAGCTGAATGGAAAACCACAACCTAACCGAAATAGTGACTGTAAGCAATAAGTAAATATATGTGCTGTCTTGTGCGAGAGCAAGTTGAAGACGCACAAGCCATCGACCTCTCGTCACCAGTGAACGGAGGGAGGGAGAGAGGGAGATTATTGGTTGGTGGGGGGGGGGGGGAAATGTAGCAAATAATGGTAGTGGGTTAGGTGGCTCTGAACATCGGCTAATTTTGTTTGATGATACTGCTTTTGTTGGGTCAATTTTTATTCTCCGTTGTTTTCTAATATGGGTTGGTGATTTGAATTTATTTTCGGCACCATTACAGAATTTTAATTCGTTTAATGTTACATGCATCTGTAACTTCAGCCTTGTAAATGCTGTATGCTAATATTTATATTTTTTATATTTCATCTGCTCTTATTAATATGTAATAATAATAAACAAGCTAAAATTTAATGTACTTTTAATTTGAAAGATGTTTTATGTTTAGAGGATTTCAAGTAGGTAAGTTACTCTGCAGTAATAATGATTCACGAGTAAGTTTTTAAGAACAAGATAAAACATATGCGCGCTCTCGTAGTTTTTGTAGTATATATAGAGGTGTGCCAGCGATGCGTATGTGTTACGATTGTTATTGTGATGTCTTGCCTCAGTTGATAGTCTAGTAATTGGCAGGGCAAGACCGCTCTGAGCTGCTGTCTATTGTCAGAATTATATTTTAGTCATAAGAGATTGTTTATTCATTTACACATGTCTGACATTTTACATTTATACTTGATAACACGTGTTGAAAAAGTAGATGGGGTGTATTACATTGAGTTCAGGTCTGCCAAGAAACCTACCATACTGGCCTACCTAACCTGCCTATATGGGCAGCGATTAAATGTTTTGCATCCATTAGCAGAGAGCTGTCAGTAACGGAAACCTTCCCCACTTAAAAAAAAATTATATGCCGTTTTAAAAGTCTTGCGAACTACCGGAACATACACGTGATGAATGACAGCTGTAGCGGGAGAGTCATGGATTATAGCCTACGTGTTGGTTTTGCTGAAGTATGGCATTAAGTCATTGAACCGAACGAGAATGTCCAGTGGCGGTTTCTTCTTTTATATACTGTAGATACCAAGTTTCACCATTGTAGCATATAGAGAACAACGAGTGCTTGCTTGCTTGTAAACTTTTTTTTATCTTTATTTAATAAAATACAGTATAAATCATATACTGTATACATAAATTTACAAGGCAATACTACATTATATATTCAATAGTACAATTCTTGTTTTGTAAACTACCCAGCGAAACACTGGGCGTTGTAAATTTTTGGTATTTGCGCAATATGACATTTTAAAAGGTAATGGAAGGAAGTAAATATTTTTAACGTTTTAAGTAGCTCTTAAGACACATTCGATACCATCAGTAGACTTATGCTAATAAATCATGTTACTGTAAAAACGGTGGAGTAGAGTTGCCTTTGTTACATGATTTTTATTTACAATATGCTATATCTATACTAATATTTGCAATTAGTTTGATATTGATGTTTTAGATGTTTGAAGGACACCGTTTCGTGCTTAGCTTCTAAAGTCAAAACAATTATAGGCTTTAAACATTAGGTGACGAAATATGAGACGTATATGGTGGTAAACGCTAGAATTGTATAACCCAAATTTGGTCAGATGTGGCTCTTTGGTGAATATAAGCTTCAGAGCAAAGCAAGCAATCAAAGTAAAGAATTAAATAAAAAAAATTTGTTTACCTCATTTTTAACGTAGTCCTATGTTCCAATGTCTTCTAGGATTAACAATGCTATCCTTTTTTTTTTTTTTACTAGTTTTGAGTTTTCAGATTGACATTACCCATTAATTATACTTCGGTTCAATTTGCATGAACATACTTGAGGGCCACCATCTCGAGTCGTCTCAACGGTGACAGGAAACCTGCGGCTTGTCAAAAGTCCCCTTCCCATTATTCCCGGGTGTTAGTATTCAACAATATTGAATATGTTGATTACCTGTCGGCTTTGCTGATGATAGCTTGATCTGTGAGGCTATTGTTGATCGTAGTCAGCAAACTGGTCTCAATATTAAAACGAAAATTTGAGCATAAGCTCATTCCATG